AAGTAGGGAATTAACTAGGGAAACTGACAGATCAATAACGTTACATTGTCATACTGACTAATAAAACTCACATTGCACTGAAAAAACGTCCGAATATCAATCTTAAAATGTTTGGCCGATGGTTTCATTGTTTGATTCAGGTCTAGTGTGATTGAGGTAAAAAGAATAGCTAACGTTAGCCAACTTTTGGCCAGCTCTCTCTCTTAACGGTACATCACCTGCCGAAAGCTAGCCAAGTTCATTTACTTTTGAAACAGGACAAAACAAAGGCTACAAAACATTTCCATATAAACAACAGCTGTTAGATAGTAATAATAGCCACCTCATTTCGCTATCTGACAGAGGCAAGAGCTGACCTGGTGTGGTAGTTACTAGCTAGCGTAGCTTATTCATTCACCTCAGCCGAGAGGGGATGAAACATTACCTAACGTTACATGTCGGTTACAATACTAGCTCAGCACTGCAAATAAACACTAGGTTCGGGGGGGTTCTGTTAAGTTAAACAGCAATTACCTTGCCAGCTACATCAGTGAACTAAAGAGTAGCCAGTTTCTGCTCTGCTTGCTTTTTCAACTCGGTGAAAGAGTACAACACATACACACTGAACTATGCTCAACTCTCCCATGCTGGTCCAGCCAGCCTTTCAGAAGCTTTGCCTTCGCACAGCCTGTGGTGTCCGCGTGGTCCTAAATCTAGGGGACAATATGCAATTTCTGAATTTGGGGACATGACCCCCTGTAGCTCAGTTGGTAGAGCATGGCGCTTGCAACGCCAGGGTTGTGGGTTTGTTTCCCACAGGGGGCCTGTATGAAAATGTATGCACTATCTAACTGTAAGTCGCTTTGGATAAGAGCGTCTGCTAAATGACTAAACTTTTTTTTTTTTAATGTAAATATGGTAATTTTCATGTTTTCATAAATTCTTAGAATGTTTGGGAATTACCTACAGTATACTAAGGCATTTGTGAAAATTCTATAGCAATATAGAGCGCGAAAGAGGCAGTGCGTTTGGACAATTAATAGACTCTGCAGTAAATAAAACCAAATAAAAACATCTGTCTTGTCCAGGACCGGAGTCTACACAGACCAGTGTGCTATAGCCAATCAGAGCTACAGTTGGCCTTTAGACAAACAAGTAATCTGCCACAAGGGCCTGACATAAGTTACTTTGAACTGGACTGTATGTTTACAGGCAGTTGCAACAGTGCAACTTTGGATCATTAGACCGCATTTGCCAAAAGCCACAAAATACACCAGAAATCCATTCAGGTCTATTTTGTGGCTTTTGGCGAATGCGATCTAATGATCACCACGGGAGTCCTCTTACATTTGGGAACTTTACAGTCCTATTGATCAAACAACCATGAAAAGGTCGTCTCTCTCTCCCTCAGTGATGCACATCAACAAGATCAACAACTAATGCTAGCCAGAGCAAGATGAGCTAAAAATCTAACGAAGGAACATTAGATAAACCCTCTCAAACCTTTTCATCTAGTTGGCCGTCAAAATTGCACTGATAAACGATGGGGAATTGTAGCCTCCTCGTCCTTCTGCAGCTTGCCTGCCAATGCATGCTTGTCCCAACCAAGCATCCAAGCTAACTGGCTAAAGTTGGCTAGCTTGATAGCTAGCTACTTCCAGACACAAATGAGCACCTCACTCTGACCATTTTACTCGCCGTAGCAGAACTGGTTAGGCTGTTTACATGTTATCTAAAGCGTTCTTGAATAACTGTTATTTTTTTGTCTACGTTTACTGACACTGGTCATATTCAGCGGGTGTTGCGTGTTAGTAAATTCATCAGTTGTTCTGCGCTTTGGCACACTCAGACGAGAGTGCTATGAAATCAGAGTAGATAGCCAGAATGAATTTGCGAATGCAAGAGATATGCTAATTGGATAACAGTCGTTCATGTTCTTTCTAGCTAACCAAATGACACCTACATCTCTAGCTGTGTATAGCCACCGAAAAACGATATGAGGGGGAAAAGTCAGTCACTCACCCACTCCTTCAATGGAATTACATGACATCCTCCTAGCAGCTAGCTACCTATCTAGCTAACGTTAGGCTCCGTGTTTTTAGCTTGCTACATAAATAGATACGCTAGCCTATTAGCCACGTTATGACTGACTTGTGATCATTGCCCTTGCTAGTTTGATTGTATTGACATTCCCAGCCTTAGTTACATTCGTCCGTTTTTGTCCAGAATATTGAGTCATTGAAACTGAAACAGAGCACCGAATGGAGGCAGCAATCAATGTACCAGGCCAGCTGTGATTTACAACCTGATAGCAATATTTCTTGGACTACCAAGGAAGGTATCGGTGAATTATATTAATCATGCAGTGAACTGCACCCATCTATTCTGCCAACAATTCCTTAGTGTATGTCATGAAATGCTGAGTCAAATATAACCTATTTTTAAAACCTCTTATAAAGTTGATTTTGTAGCATAAATTGGGAATTTGATATTTTTGACTGATATTATGATTGTCTGTTTCATATCTGCAAAGTAGTTAAAACGCTGTCAGTTCCACTTCAAACATTAGGTCACTGGTTACTTTGTGTGGTAAACGTTAATGTTTTTTTTGCAATGGGAAGTAATGGTTGTACATTTTGATTGGGAAATGCTTAATGGTTGTGTTTTTGTATTCTTATGATTGGGACCTACTGGGTTATTATGTCTGAGTTTATGGACTGCTTAACCTTTAACATCATGCTGTATGTGACTGCTGTCTTTCCATCGGCCCTATGCAGTGGTGTCTGGAGAAGTGGGTATACTCAGATTTTGCCAAAACGTTCCCAAACGCCCCAGCGAAGGTAAGGCACCCTGTGTGAAAAATCATGTTTTCCTATTATTATTTTTAATGAGATTTCCTATAGATTTTTCAGATTTCAAACTCAAACTTTTTTTAATAGAGAAAAAAATACAAAAATGTGATGGTCTAAATCCACAACGCTTAAACCACATCACCCCAGTGGGCCCATCCATGTCTACACCCCTGATGCAAACAGTGCATGATGACAATTACGCATCACTAATAGCCTACTAACCAACACTTCGGTCTAAACTTTTTCAATACCTGGTTTGCATACCGATTGTTGCCTTAGTTAGCATTTACTGGTAGATAGAAGTTGAAACGTCTTTACTACCCTACCGGCTACCGATGTCATTCTTCTGTGAGCTGCTCCATGCCAAAACCAGTTGAGAGCTGCACACTCTTGCTGGCTGCCCTGCAGATGATATTCCGATGAAACTAGGCTATGTGCGCCGCGGGCATGTGAATACATTTCACGTGCTTTGCGATTGCGTAGGCTACTTTGTGCATGATTTCTCTATTGTACTACATAGTAAATAAATCGTATACCTGCACTACACTACTTTGATAATTTTTAATCCCTACTGATGCGTAAGTATACGCAATGCCCACTGAAAAAAAGTGGGTATACGGTTTATACCTCCGAACACCCTCCACTACACCACTGGGCCTTTTGTGTTTTACATCAACAACAAAAAATGCACGCTTCTACATGAGTGCGCAAGTATTAAATTCGCCACACACACATTATGTATATATATATATATATATATATATATATATATGCAGTTATGATACTGTATTAAATGTTTGAAGATAGAATTGTATATATTTGGCCTGGCGAAGCGGTTTTATGCGCCGATTGAATTGTAAGCTGATGAGTTATTTTTACTCTGCTGGTCTCGGGAAGAAATTACGAATCCTCACTGTCCCAGACCGAGTCAAGACCGAGTACAAATTTGTCCGACACCGAGAGAGTACTACAGCACTGTGAAATTGATAACACATACAAAGTGAGCCTTGAATTGACGTCTTTATTAACCAGGAAAGAAAAAAACAGCCCTCTTGCACTCCACAACCATACTGAGTACCAGTAACTTTTCCCTGTGAAATCTGTTTGTATCAAAGAGTATGAAAAACATTAAGCAAAAATGTCAATGTAATTGCAGTTCAAGACCCCTCAACACACACAACTAAATGATGTGACTGGCAAAAATCTCAGAAAAGGAATTTAATACTGAGCGTACATAACACAGAACACTAGAATGTCTTCCCAATATGAGAAATCACAGTATTTTGCAATAAGTACTTTTAGGTTTCCTGTACTTGGCAAATGGGTACCAATTTGTGACATGTGGCAAGACAATGCATTGTAATGTCATACAAAAGGGAAAATGAATGCTCAAATTTAAATAAGCAATGTTTTGCTACAGAGTGATCCTCAAACCTTTCAAAAGATCTCATTCTCAATCTCATATATTTACACCTCATTCCATGACTAGAATACACAACAAAAAATATTCAAAAATAAACAATGAAGACAAAACAGGAAGAATAGGAATTCAAATTTGTACATTTTGGCTCATATCAACAAGTCACCTCACAATACAGTAAAGGATAATTCATGTGGATTTACAAAGGAGTGTTGAAGTCAAAGGAGGGTGAAGTTGATTAGTTGTCTCAGTGAGTGTGCTTGGACTGAAACCACCATCCTGGAAATGTTTCTTGTCCTTACCTACCAAGACTGCATGTCTGAGACTACGGTAAACTTAGTTGACCCCTGAGTTCCTAATGCAAAACTAGTGTATGAAATACCTCCTTTACAGTGTGTTTCTTAGTGCAAGCCAGCAAAATATGCTTGATTAAACAGAGGTATATTAAGATAGCACCCAAGCTGACAATGCTCCCCCAAACAGTTATTTAGCTGGCCAAATCACAAAAGCATTATGGGAGGTGGTTTGCTCTATATACACTTGTGAAAACCAGCTGTTCAAATGCTTGTATTCATACATTTTATAAACTTTTTCCATAGAAAATATAAATATCCCTGAATGAAACAGATTCACAGCATTTCCTTTTGAAAGGGCTCCAGTGCTACTACCTTAATGTGGCGATCAAGTGTCTTCAAGGTCTCCAGTTCAAGGTCTCTCTCTCTCTGGCTAAGCCTGCTGCGCCAAGTACTTCATTCGCTGTCATGATACGTCACCGTCCGTTTACCACGGTTTCGGGTCTTGATACGCGTTCCACACGCTCCTCTCTGGGGTTCCCTGTACGACTGGTCACTGTCTGCCTCAGAGGCGTTCCTCCGGTGTTGTCGAGAGTGGTGGGCGGCACCCTTTTCACTGACCCATGACCTCTTGTGGCTTTTTCTCTTTGGACTGCTCTGGGACCCTGAGCTGGCAGAGGACTTCTCAGAGGCAGAGGACTCTTCCTCCTCTTCGCTTTCAGAAGCAGAACTGTGGGAACTGCTGCTGCAGCTTTCCTTTCGCTTGCGTTTCTGTCGCGCCAAATGTCTCTTCCACCTCGGACACTCAACCTCCTTCTCATCTTCTGACCCTTGGGAAGAGGCGTCTTCCTGACTATTACCGTCCTCGGGTTCAGACTTGGATCGAGATTCCTTCTTGGGATGCTTGGAGCTTGATCTTTTTGTCTCCCTCTCGTCCTGACCTTCACAGTAGCTCTTAGCCTTGGGCATGCACTGTTTCTTTTCATCAGGGTTGTCTGAGGAGTCTGAGGTGTAAATGCGTTTTCTCTTGGAAGAGGACTGTTGTTTTGTAGCAACTGGGGAGGCTTTTCTTCGGTTGCGTTGATATCCTTTATCTGAAACAGCATTGCTCTTCCCATTCTTACAACTGCCTTGCATCTCAGAGTTCAAGTCCTCCTCAGAGTCTTCATTGATGTATTTCTTTTTTGGTTGGGCTCGAAGGCAAGGCCGCCTGCTAGGGCTATGCTTCTCCTTCCCATCAGATTCTTCCTCTGAGGAAGCATGCAGTTTCCTCCTTGCTCTCCTGTTGGGTACAACTTCCTCCTCCTCGCTCTCTGAATCAGAGTCATTGCGACTCTGTCTTTTGGGTTTGTTGTTTTGCAACAGAGGTTTTTTATTGGATTCTCCCTCAGATTCATCATCTGAGTGGTTGCTGTCAGCTTCGTCTTCCTCCTCTTCCTCCTCCTCCTCTTCAGACTTCACTCTTTTCTTGCGAGAGCGTGATCTCTTTGGAGTGTCACTGAGTTCCTCTGATTCAGGGCCATCCTGTTTGTGGGTTAAGGCAGATGTCTGTTCTTTGCTTTTTGATGGTAATTTACTATTTTTCTCAGAGTCTTTAGGATGTTCTTTCTCCACCTTTCTCCCATTTTGGTGAGGGTGCTTTTGAGCATTGTGGTCTCGTGTTGTGTGTTGTCTCTTTCTGGAGCCAGACTTCTCTTCCGCCACATTACTGGTAATGCAAGTTCTACTTTTGCTCACTGCAGCAATTGACGTGCTTCTGGAAGACTTCTGACACACAATAGCTTCTTCCTCTTTTTCTTCCTCCTCTTCTTCACTGTCAGAGCTCTCCTCCTCCTCCTCCTCCTCTTTCTCAGAGTTACTGTCAGCCTGTTGATGTTTTGTGCTGTGCCCATTTACATGAGACAAATCATCTGAAAGAGAGAGACAAACATTAACACTACAGCAACAAATGAATGAATTGAGTGAGTAGCCATGACTGAAAGCATTTACAGTATGCCTGTAGCTCTTACCCTTACCCACTGTCCCTGCAGCTTGTCTGGTTGTCCTGCGGCTGCTGGAGTTCTTCCGCTCTCCATTCTGATGGCAACGAGAGGATGACGCTTCACTCTCAATACTGTCCTCATTGTTCTCCCAATCACCCGATGAATCCTTGCCTTTTTTAGAACCTAGGTGAGAGAAAGCGTATGTTACCTAACAGTGTTGAAATTTGTTCTCAAAGAATGCCCCCTTTTGTGGCTCTGGTACAATAGATCCTTGAACAATAATAGTTTATCCAAACCAGTCTAAGCTGACATTGGGTGCTCACTCTGTGCTGATGACTGATCCTCTGATTCAGAGCTGCTCTGGATCACGGCAGTGCGTTTGCTGGCTCGGGTCGCATGGCGGCTGCTTTTCCTCCTATGCTTGTCCTCATCCTCAGAGGCTGAACCATAGTCTTCCTCAGAGGCTTCCAGAAGCTTCATCTTGTTGACAGCTGCCCTGGCAGTCTTCCTTTTCAGTGTCCTGCGGCCCACATTCTCCTCCTCATCCCTGTAAGTGTCTGTACCCTGGGATGGTGATCTCTCAGAGTCGCTGCCTCGCTGCCTCTCTCGCCCAAATGTTCTGCTGTGACCGTTCATCAGGGCACCCCTCTCTGGACACACACAGAGCAGCAACAACACTTTAACGGCTAATAATCATAATAACTAAAAAAAGATCTGCTCTGTACAGACAGTTCAGACCTTTGACCATAAGGGCAGTTATCTGCCCCTTTTCTTCTATGGTGTGATGGTGTTTACCTGGCCGTTTAGTATGCTTCCTATAGGCAGCAGCATTGTTCCTGGTTAGCCTGGTGCTGGACCTGCTGGGGAATCGGCGAGACATAGTGTTGGACGACTTCTCACCGTCCTCACTCTCCTCCCCCTCATTGGAGGACTCCTCCTCACTCTTGCTCTCAGCAACTGAAATAAAGGGGGATCAAAAACAGGGATTTTATTAGAGGGACAGCTATTAAGGGATGTCTCGCTATCTGCCTTCTGCCGAAATGATGTGAAATCCTCACTTTTTTTCTTCTTTGCCCCATTGTTCCTGGTGACTCTTCTGGTTCCCCTGGTCTCTCTGCTGTGATGGTGCCGTGAGGACCCCAGTCGTTTCTCCTCTTCAGAGTCACTCATATATAACTCACTGTCAATCTCAGAGTCTGACCCTGAGGAGGCTTCAGAAGAGCTGTGGCCTGAGCTGTCACTGCTGTGGCTCCTCCTCCTGGTTCTCTCAGGAGCAGACACTTTGGCTGAGGTAGATTTGGTCGTCGACGCCGCTTCTTTTTCCTGAGTTTTTAGAGCAGTCCTCTTTTGACTGAAGGGAAAGAACAATATCATTAGAAGTGCTGTATGTCCTGTGGACCACACAAGTACATTTCCCTAAGCCCAATGAGGTCTGTTGGCAGTAGAAGTGAGGCCTACCTAGTGGTGTCAGTGCTGGGTGCAGCAGACTCGTGGTGCTGAAGCTTCTTCCGGAACCTCTGGCTGCGGCGGAGCTTCTCGCTGCTCTTGATGGCAGTTTTGTATTGCGATATGATTGTTCTGATTCGCTCTTCGAAGAATGCAGAGAGCCGCAAAGTCATACTGTAGATCTGGGGACAGAGGAGATAGAAATCTGTAGAGCACAGCAACTTGGCATCAGGTCCTAGTCACTAGATTGATGACAAACCAGAACCTGACCAATGTCAAATTGTAAATGAAAAATCAACTTAATATAAGATTGCTGAATTCTAGTTTTTGATTAAGGTATAAGGATTTCTTACACTGGAATCGCTTGTATGGTTTGGAAATGCAAGAGCTGAAATACCTTTGAGCGTTTGTTTGGCGTGAAGGCTTTAGCGTTGGCAAATATCAGACGTGCGTCTTTGCAGAGCTCCATGGGGTTTTCATAGCGGTCCTCCTCAAGGGTCCCCTTCACCATCCCAAAGTCAATGGGAGTGTCAATGATGCTAAGGTAGTCCTGCAAACAGACATGAGTCACATTCGATCAACAGTTCTGTCAAAGCCAGAGTCATTATTACAGTAGAACTCTGTGTTCTCTTACTGGGTAGGAGGTAGGATCCACAGGCTTTCTGAAGGGCTCGGAGTCCTCACACTCAAAGACATAGTTCATCAGGCGCTTGCACTGCCCCTTCCAGGAGTCCCGGTCAGATACCGTCTCCACAGAGCGCTGGGATAAAGGAAGACACATAAGACATAAGATAACATCCCAGCCACTTCCCTCAATTTTCATTGCTGATTTTACATGACCTTTCATTATTTACCTGGCGCAGTCTGTGTCCAGAAGAGGGGCCTGGTGCCTCTTCCAGTTCCTGGGAAAGACATTTAAATCAACATCAGTTCATCCCAAATGTTACACAGCAAGGTTTGAATGATTTGATGATCAAACCTGATTTACCTCATCTGTATAGTCCATGTCTTCAATAGCATTGTAGATCTCCATGATATCTGTACAGCTAGGTCGACTGAGGAAATAAAAAGGCAACATAAGTTGTTAAATACAAATACATTTACCTGTATAAGTTTGAGCTCAATAACACTTGGACAACTCACTTGATAAATTTTAGCAGGACATCTGTTATAAGTTTTGCTGAATGGGCTATCTTGCTCCTTGGCTCATTGAAAGTCCGGGCATTGTGCACAATGTATCTGGCATCCCAAACTAAAGCGGACAGTCGCCTGTAGAACCTATTCATCAGTCTCAGTCTGATTGTGCCCAGGTCTGTGGGGAAGGCTATCACCGTGCAGTAGGTTGGGTATTGAACTATGTCCACAGGGCCAGAGAATGGGGCTACAATATCTGTCAATGAGAAAAAAAACAGAAGTACTGTGAATGAAACATTCTAAACCTCACTAGCCCATCTAGGAATGGTATACAATGCGAGGTCTGCTGAGGAGGATGTAGTACCAAAGTACAGTGGTGAGTGTGCTTACCGACAGTGATGAGTTGGTCAATGCCTGCTATGATGCGTTCACACTCGTCGTCTCTGCTCCTCTCACCCCACTCTCCTGTCTGGGGTTTATACATGACCTCTCTCATCTCCTCTGCCGTCACTGGAACCCCTCCACCTACAGACTCAGGTTGCTGGGCTGAAGAGCACACACAAGCACACAAACACACACCATTGTTACCATACAGTCCATTACCAAATACTGTACTAAGTCCTAGAATGTCCCATTTACAACAACAGAGTCTGTTAAATTACCATCCTCTGGAATAGCTTCCACATCCCATGGACTTAGCTTCTCCGTTTCGCCATTGTCCCATCTGACAACAAAACCAAGCAGGTTAGAAGCATGCAATCAACCGCTGGTTTCACTGGTTTCCAACATTGCAGACCCAATCATACTAGCACTTTAACACATTCTCACCTGACTTTGAAGCATTGGAAATGACTGTCAGGATATTCAAGCTGATATGGCTCCTGACAGACAATGATCCCAAACCACCAGGCATCATCTATTACTGACCGGAATCTGTCATCTGCAGTGAGGAATATTACCATTTTAGGTGGAGGAAATGTGTTACTGGACCTTGAGTAGTGTGAGGAACCCCTGAAGAGAGATGCATTGTTAACTTACTTGGCTGCCAGACTCTACTGCTTGCTTCATCATAACTCTGCCGAAGCACGAGGAAGTCAATCACATCCGGCATGTCATGGTACCTGAGGGGAGGCGTACAGAAGTCCAAAGTTACCAAATGTCTCTGGTAATATCTGTGTACATGTATCTTCAATGTTATAGACACTTTGAAGCGGTTGCATCACTTACTTTACATAAAATGATTTGTCTGTGATTTTGCCCGTGCCGTGGTCAATGAGCGTCAGTTTCAGGCGGCACAGTGTCGGAGGGCACACTTCATACTTGATCCCAGTTATTTTAACAAATTCTTGGTCCTGTAGAGAGAAGGAGAGCTTCAAGTTACTCTTCAACAATGTCCTTTTAGACACAGGTCATCTTAACACACTAACCCATTTTCTACTGCATCAGTGGAAGACAGATTCATCAATTTCCTAGTTTGGAGTGGACATGATGTTCTTACCCTCAGCTCCATCTTCCTCCAGGGCTGTTTCTCCATGTTAATGGGGTACAAGTTGTTCCTGTTCACCGCCTCCACATACGCCTCGTGACCCTGGCGGAAATAGATGACCTGAGGGAGAGAGAGGGTAACAGTAATTAGACCAGAGGCTGGTGGGAGGAGCTATAAGAGGACGGGCTCATTGAAATTGCTGGAATGGAATAAATGGAACAGAGTCAAACGTGGTTTCCATATGTTTGATAATGTTCCATTTATTCCATTCCAGCCATTACTATAGCTCCTCCCACCAGCCTCCTCTGATTTAGACCCCAGAGATGCACACAACACAGTAGGGGAGACATATGGTCCAGACAGAGCCACGTACCTCATCACCCATCTGGGGAACGAAGGGCGACTTCCTGGGAATGACATCAGTGATCCACGTTGACGGTCTGAACTCGTTGGAGACTTCTCTGTTGATCGACGGCCTGGCTTTAGGCCGCTGTGATACAAATGAACAATTACGTAAGATTTATTTAATATTCAATAGGGAAGTGAAACTACATTTTGTCATACCATAGCAGGATGCAAGCATTGACAAACAAAATATGCAGGTTAGTACAGCGGATAACCTTGGTTGTCTTGCTTTTGGGCTTCTTGGATTTCTGCTTGCTAGTCTGAGGTCGTTCTTCATCCTCACTTTGCTGCTGCTTCTCCTCTTCCTCCTCCTCCGAGCTGCTAAGATGGCGGCGAACTCGTTTCCGTGATGACACGGGAGTGGAGGGCTGCAGGTTAATCCCAGCGTCCGCTGTCCAGTCAGAGTACTCACTGGACGAGTGGCTGTCATGGGCAACGTAAGTTATGTTAGCATTAAACCAAGGGAAACAACAATATGACATACGTCATGTACAGTGGGGAAGAAAAGTATTTAGTCAGCCACCAATTGTGCAAGTTCTCCCACTTAAAAAGATGAGAGAGGCCTGTAATTTTCATCATAGGTACATGTCAACTATGACAGACAAAATGAGAAAATAAATTCCAGAAAATCACATTGTAGGATTTTTATGAATTTATTTGCAAATTATGGTGGAAAATAAGTATTTGGTCAATAACAAAAGTTTCTCAATACTTTGTTATATACCCCTTGTTGGCAATGACACAGGTCAAACGTTTTCTGTAAGTCTTCACAAGGTTTTCACACACTGTTGCTGGTATTTTGGCCCATTCCTCCATGCAGATCTCCTCTAGAGTAGTGATGTTTTGGGGCTGTCGCTGGGCAACACGGACTTTCAACTCCCTCCAAAGATTTTCTATGGGGTTGAGATCTGGAGACTGGCTAGGCCACTCCAGGACCTTGAAATGCTTCTTACGAAGCCACTCCTTCGTTGCCCGGGAGGTGTGTTTGGGATCAGTGGCGGCTCCTGAAAAAATTCTCAGGAGGGGCAATTTTTCTGATGATTTAGGTGACCTACACACGTGCACGAGTCCGTGCACGCGATTCCAGATATCTTTACCTCTGAATAAACTGCCTTTATTATACCATATCCACCCTGTCCAAAGTCTCTACTTGGTCTCAGTTCTCCAGTAAACTTGTGATTATCAACAGTACACAACGGTAACAAACAATTGGGGGAACTCACGGGGCAGACAGTAACCACTTAAAAGGAAGCGATTCCCAAACCTTCCATAACAAAGCCATCACCTACAGAGAGATGAACTTGGAGAAGAGTCCCCTAAGTAAGCTTGTCCTGGGCCTCTGTTCACAAACACAAACAGACCCCACACAGCCCCAGGACAACAACAACAACAACAACAACAACACAATTAGACCCAACCAAATCATGAGAAAACAAAAAGAGAATTACTTGACACATTGGAAAGAACAAACAAAAAAACAGAGCAAACTAGAATGCTATTTGGCCCTAAACAGAGAGTACACAGTGGCAGAATACCTGACCACTGTGACTGACCCAAACTTAATGAAAGCTTTGACTATGTACAGACTCAGTGACCATAGCCTTGCTATTGAGAAAGGCCGCCGTAGGCAGACCTGGCTCTCAAGAGAAGACAGGCTATGTGCACACTGCCCACAAAATGAGGTGGAAACTGAGCTGCACTTCCTAACCTCCTGCCAAATGTATGACCATATTAGAGACACATATTTCCCTCAGATTACAGCGATCCACAAAGAATTCGAAAACAAACCCAATTTTGATAAACTCCCTTATCTACTGGGTGAAAAACCACAGTGTGCCATCACAGCTGCAAGATTTGTGACCCGTTGCCACAAGAAAAGGGCAACCAGTGAAGAACAAACACCATTGTAAATACAACCCATATTTATGTTTATTTATTTTCCCATTTGTACTTTAACTATTTGCACATTGTAACAACACTGTATATATACATAATATGACATTTGAAATGTCTTTATTCTTTTGAAACTTCTGAGTGTAATGTTTACTGTTAATATTTATTGTTTATTTCACTTTTGTTTACTATCTACTTCCCTTGCTTTGGCAATGTTAACACACGTTTCCCATGCCAATAAAGCCCTTAAATTGAATTGAATTGATAGTAAGGTCGCAATGACACAGAAAGCAGTTCAATGTCGGGGTACAGAGTCGCTCTCTTACCAGGATCGCGGTCCACTCTGACCAGGGTGAAGGTGGCCGGCTCCACTTCTCTGTCCGGGACTCATCCAGCCAAGTCTCCCAGCTGTATTGGGATTCAGCTGCCTGCAGCGTTTTCATTATTTAGTCCGTTCGTAGCGGGTATGTACACGATCAACAAGATCAGTCCAAAACCAACCACTGGAAATCCATGGTTGGCAGAATGTTTGTAAACTAAGTCTACAAATTAAAAACATAAAATAACGCCGCACTGCAGGTCGCAACAGAGACGCTTCTAGCCGCCATTGTCTTAGTTACGTTCAACGTTACGTCACGTATGACGAAAGCGCGTAAGTGCAAGCCCACAGACACCCATAGAGAATGTATTGAAAGCTTTGAAATGTGAAAAAAATAGATTTTACATGACAGGCTATGAGAGACTTCTGGGCGATTTTCAACTTGACTGAAATCGCCCCAAAAACGGGCGGGGCCATTTGAAGCACGACTTTAGCCTGATTTGACATTTAGTGGCTGGCAGATCAGACGTGAACACTGATAACTGCTGTTGCCGTGATATAATTGATTAGAAAAAAAATCCCTTCCTTTTCCCGTTTGGCAGTGCGTCGCCCATATCGCCCTATTGAACAAGCCGTCCCTGTTTGGGATCATTGTCATGCTAAAAGACCCAGCCACGTTTCATCTTCAATGCCCTTGCTGATGGAAGGAGGTTTTCACTCACAATCTCACGATAGATGGCCCCATTCATTCTTTCCTTTACACGGATCAGTCGTCCTGGTCCCTTTGCAGAAAAACAGCCCCAAAGCATGAAGTTTCCACCCCCATGCATTACAGTAGGTATGGTGTTCTTTGGATGCAACTCAGCATTCTTTGTCCTCCAAACACGATGAGTTGAGTTTTTACCAAAAAGTTATATTTTGGTTTCATCTGACCATATGACATTCTCCCAATCCTCTTCTGGATCATCCAAATGCACTCTAGCAAACTTCAGACGGGCCTGGACATGTACTGGCTTAAGCAGGGGGACACGTCTGGCAATGCAGGATTTGAGTCCCTGGCGGAGTAGTGTGTTACTGATGGTAGGCTTTGTTACTTTGGTCCCAGCTCTCTGCAGGTCATTCACTAGGTCCCCCCGTGTGGTTCTGGGATTTTTGCTCACCGTTCTTGTGATCATTTTGACCCCATGGGGTGAGATCTTGCGTGGAGCCCCAGATCGAGGGAGATTATCAGTGGTCTTGTATGTCTTCCATTTCCTAATAATTGCTCCCACAGTTGATTTCTTCAAACCAAGCTGCTTACCTATTGCAGATTCAGTCTTCCCAGCCTGGTGCAGGTCTACAATTTTGTTTCTGGTGTCCTTTGACAGCTCTTTGGTCTTGACCATAGTGGAGTTTGGAGTGTGACTGTTTGAGGTTGTGGACAGGTGTCTTTTATACTGATAACAAGTTCAAACAGGTGCCATTAATACAGGTAACGAGTGGAGGACAGAGGAGCCTCTTAAAGAAGAAGTTACAGGTCTGTGAGAGCCAGAAATCTTGCTTGTTTGTAGGTGACCAAATACTTATTTTCCACCATAATTTGCAAATAAATTCATTAAAAATCCTACAATGTGATTTTCTGGATTTTTTTTCTCTCAATTTGTCTGTCATAGTTGACGTGTACCTATGATGAAAATTACAGGCCTCTCTAATCTTTTTAAGTGGGAGAACTTGCACAATTGGTGGCTGACTAAATACTTTTTTTCCCCACTGTACCTCTTGTAGGGAATCAAGAGAAGCAAAGAGCTCATCTGTACCTTGAACTGTCACTTTTCCATTCCTCTTCCTCATTGGATGAATCCAGTTCACTGCCCTCCATCTCATGGTCCTAGAGGAGGGGAAGGAGATCGCAAGATTTACCACTTTCACCAATATACCAAATAGCTTGTTATTCTCTAACGGACATGTCAAAAGCATATTTCTTATCACATAGAATGTACCTCTGATGTTGCGGTCTCCTCTCCCTCCTCACAGGAAAACTCGATTAATTCCTCCACAATGCCATCTCTGCTCTGCTGGAATACTTTTTGCTTTATGCGGGACTGTGCTCGTTTAATGCAAGGCAGTTCATCTTCAGAATCATCCTGAGGCAGAAGCAAAGCAGAAATGCAGGTATGAGGTCAGTATCATTTAACAATTCCTGTGGTCAGTCATGATTTTTAAATGAAAAAAATTGGTCTACTTACTCTACAACTGCTATATGTTACACGTCGTTTCTTTGCATTGTATAAGGCAATCTCCTCCTCTCCTTTTGTAATTCGGAAGTCATCCTGGCAACTATAAGATAATTTACACTTTTCATTTCAACTTGCATTTCAGAAATAATGTTCTAGAGATTAACCATTTAGGAGTAGGCTTGTTTATATACTGTGCCTTCAGAAAGTATTCAGACCCCTTGACTTTTTTCCACATTTTGTTACGTTACAGCCTTATTCTAAAATGGATTAAATGAAACAATTTCCTCACCAATCTACACACAATACCCCATAAGGCCTCCTGTAGCTCAGTTGGTAGAGCATGGCGCTTGCAATGCCAGGGTTGTGGGTTCGATTCCCACGGCGGGCCAGTGTGAAAAATGTATGCACTCACTAACTGTAAGTCGCTCTGGATAAGAGCGTCTGCTAAATGACTAAAATGTAAATAATGACAAAGCGAAAACAGGTTTGTAGAAATGTTAGCCCTTTTTTTTTTTTTTTACAAAATACAGAAATACCTTATTTACATAAGTATTCAGACCCTTTGCTTTGAGACTCAAAATTGAGCTCAGGTGCATCCTGTTTCCATTGATCATCCTTGAGATGTTTCTACAACTTGATGGGAGTCCACCTGTGGTAAATTCAATTGATTGGACATGATTTGGAAAGGCACACACCTGTCTATATCAGGTCCCACAGTTGACAGTGCACGTCAGAGCAAAAACCAAGCCATGGGGTCAAATGAATTGTCCGTAGAGCTCAGAGGATTAAGCAATCGGGGGAGAAGGGCCTTGGTCAGGGAGGTGACCAAGAACCCGATGGTCACTCTGACAGAGCTCTAGAGTTCCTCTGTGGAGATGGGAGAACCTTCCAGAAGGACAACCATCTCTGCAGCACTCCACCAATCAGGCCTTTATGGTAGAGTGGCCAGACGGAAGCCACTCCTCAGTAAAAGGCAGGACAGCCAGCTTGGAGTTTGCCAAAAGGCACCTAAAGACTCTCAGACCATGAGAAACAAGATTATCTGGTCTGATGAAACCAAGATTGAACTCTTTGGCCTCAATGCAAAGCGTCACATCTGGAGGAAACCTGGCACCATCCCTATGGTGAAGCATGGTGGTGGCAGCAGCATCATCATGCTGTGGGGATGTTCTTCAGCGGCAGGGACTGGGAGACTATCGAGGGAAAGATGAACGGAGCAAAGTAAAGAGAGATCCTTGATGAAAACCTGCTCCAGAGCGCTCAGGACCACAGACTGGGGCGAAGGTTCACCTTCCAACAGGACAATGACCCTAAGCACACAGCCAAGACAACGCAGGAGTGGCTTCGGGACAAGTCTCTGAATGTCCTTGAGTGGCCCAGCCAGAGCCCGGACTTGAACCCTATCAAACATCTTTGGAGAGACCTGAAAATAGCTGTGCAGCAACGCTCCCCATCCAACCGGACAGAGCTTGAGAGGATCTGCAGAGAAGAATGGGAGAAACTCCAAAAATACAGGTGTGCCAAGCTTGTAGCGTCATACCCAAGAAGACGCAAGGCTGTAATCACTGCCAAAGGTGCTTCAACAAAGTACTGAGTAAAAGGTCTCAATACTTATGTAAATGTCATATTTCTGTTTTTGCTTTGTCATTATGGGGTATTGTGTGTAAATTGATGAGGGAAAAAAACAATTTCATCAATTTTAGAATAAGGCCGTAACCTAACAAAATGTGGAAAAAGTCAAGGCACAGAACATGACATCCTTTGTCTTATATAACCAACTATACAGACGATCTCCCCTTGTTGTTTGAGGAATAGAGGGATGGCTGTCTCACCTGTAACCGCTGGATGAGAGCTCAGGTACCACCACTCTGCGTCTCCAGGCCTGCAGGTCCCTCTCTGTGGCCATCTGGCTGCGAGGGGCGTTCTGGTGCATCTGTCTCACCCCCTCCACCTGCCCACTGCGCCGCAGACCCACGTTAGGGGACGACTGCACCTCAGCTGCACTTCGCTCATTCACTGACGCTGGGTACAGAGCGGGAGAGGAGGGAACACAACATGACTGCTTGTCCAGGACCCAAAAAGTATTTTCCATTTCCAATGGAGTCATTGACCATTAACATATAGGAATACAAAGTATTTGAGGATGCCCAAGAGCAATGGTAGCTTGTGGAAAGGAAAAGAGCTAGGAACATGTTGTTATCTTGCATGCTACCACACAATACTGCTAGTAGAACTGACAGTGTGGGTGTGTTGTGGTACTTCTGCGTGGGGTGCTGGGGGCTGAGAACGCTGGGGCCTGTGCTGGGGCCAATGTCCCTTGTCTGCTCTGCCTGTCCTGCTGCTCCTGCAGCTGCCTGATGGTGTCGTCCAGAATGCTGCGTCTGGCCGTGGCCGCCTCGTGGTCCGTGGTCAGCTGACTGATCACCTGCTCCATAACCTCGCCATCACCTGAGGGGGACGACATGGACACAGTGTGAGGTAGTGGCAAGGGTCTTAAGTAACCCACCCACCCACTCACAAATTCTCAGAGAAACAGATGGTAGTTGCAATGGACAAACAAAACCCACCCATCCACACAAACACACGTGCCCAACTGCTCTTTTAGTGTGGAGTTGTACTGGTCCAATAAACACCAGGATCATACCGCCTTACAACTGCCTCAAAGGCTAGTTCACATACTTGTGGCGACATATCCCAGCTGAGGCACCAGGTGTTCGTCTGCAATGTTCTCCCTCCCGGGGACCAGCCGCTGGTATCTGGGGGGGTGGGGGTTCCCATCCACATCCACCAGGAAGGGAGGGGGCATGAGGTGGGGTGCCTGCTGGGTCTGCTCATCCAACACAAAGCCGTTGGCGTCCCGAATCAGTGGCCGATAGTCAGTGTGGAAAAACACCTGATCTGGAAGCTGGACAAAGACAGACAATCTCACTGGGATGTCATCTCAAACCATTGAATAGAGGACTCTTTCCTATGTATAGACGTAGTAGGAGCTCCATCCTTACCTTCTCGTATGGCTTGGAGCTCCCAAAGCCGAATATGACCAGATGGCCGTGGGAGTCTGTGCAGGCAAAGCGCTGGCCGTCGGGAGTGAACTTGCAGTCAAAGACAGCACCATGACCCTGGCCCTCAATCTGTAGGGGAGACGGAGCAACCAAGATAGAGTCAGTCATAGTTGGAGAGAATGGATGTTACTGTTAGGTCTTCTGTGGTGCGTGGCTCCTCCTCACCATGTTGAAGTAGTGCTGTGTCTTTGTGCCCCGGACGAGGTCCCAGATGAAGACGTTTCCGTCGTGGCCAGCAGAAAGCATGATCCTGGGGTCTGAGGGGTGGGGCTCCAGGACAAACACCTCAGCCTCGTGGCCCTGCAGAGAACATCACACAGCTGTCAGGTCAACTCACTGTCTGAAGGTATTCTGCTGTTTTACCAAGTCACTTGCCAAAACAATTTCAGGAAACGCTCCTGGAAAGCATGCTTACAGTGACAAGCAGTGGCAAGGGGAAAAACAGTAGAACAACTATAATGTCCTCCTGACCAAGGAATCTAGGACTATCCCTCAACAATTATTTATATAGAAATTGATCTACACTACTAGTAGTCACAGATACAAAATGTCCTCAGCTATCTTTGTGAGAACGCACTGTTCATGAAAATAGAATGTAAGATAATGCGGTTGCTCCTACTTTAAGGATATGTAGCAGCTGGCCCGTGTAGGAGTTCCACACTTTGAGGATATGGTTGTTGACTGCTGTGATTACTGAGTTGTCATGGCGATCCCACGCTACCATGGTGACCTTGGGCTTGAAAAAGCTTTCCTCATCGGTCGCGTGTTCCGAGCTGAAGAGAAAGTTGATATGAAAGGAGGAAAACAGATACAAGTATGTGTAGGTGTATGTAAAGGTGCCGTCAAGCTGTTCATTCCTTACCCTGGTAGAGTGGCGTTCATGTTGAGAAGAAGGCTCCTCCACTGCTGACGCTGAGTCAGCCTCCAGATGCGTGCTGTGCCATCTCGACTGCCACTCACAAACCTACGAGACGAGGCAAACCAAGACAATGAACTCTAGACAATCCTCATGAATCCTTAAAGAAAAACTGTTGGGTTAAGGTGACATTGATCATACCTTTCTCCTGAGTGGCAAAATTGGATGCTGTCGACCTTGTCCTAAAAATGAGAACATATATTGACAACAATGATTAGAATATTACATCAACGTTGTTTGTATTTGTTGTAAATTATAGCTTGAATAGATTTAATGATTATTTGTTTTAGGAACTCATTCTTTCCTTGTGTTCAGCTGTTCGCTGCTATGTGATGGGTTATCTGCTTTTCAAGGGATCTTACCGTGTGTTCATGAAGCTCTGATATTTTTTCAGGGTTCCCACCTCCCAGGTAATATATCCTGATGACATCGTCAGTACTTCCCGTCGCTAAGAACATGCCACCTAAAATGTTTAATAAAACAAAAAAACTATCAATTTATCTCAATTTGGTTCAGAGCCTCTGTATACCCATGTTAAAATAACTTGTACTTGTAACAGTTGGTGAGGTAAAAAGTTGGATCAATACTTCTGTTGAAAATTGTATCAGCTATGGTTAGTGTAATAGGTACTGTATGATCAATTTGTAGAAATGTATTTAAAGATCCAAAGTATTCTTTTACACAAAACTGCTATCTTGACATCGTTACCTGGACTGAATGATGAGCACACCATCTGAACTCCCGGCCTGGGTCGTTCTGTAAACTTCTGCGGGCGATCACTTTCCAAACAAGAGTGTAAATGTTTCAGACTTATTATGTAATTTTCAGGGTGCAATTATCATCTTGATCAAATTACCAGTAGTTGAAACTCACCTGAAATTGATGTTATTGACATCCCACTGCCAAAAGCAGATTGTTGCATCAGTTCCAGTGGACACCAGGTATCTCTTTGAGCCCTTGGCAAATGGTGAGAACTGAGGACAGATGTAATTCACAAAGTTAAATGCTGTTCCAGACACACAGACTTATGCACCCACATCTATACTGAGGGATGTCTACAGTACAGAGAGCAATCACACTAGTAGTCCAATGTGAGTTTCTGAAGCGATCAGGTTTAGTATGTACATCATGAGATAAAAAGTGCTGAATGCAGTTATCACATTACACTTTTGCATGGTGTCCTACATTTGCAAAACTGTGGACAGCATTAGCTTACATACTATTTGCCCGGCTAACATGTCAGATAGAAACATAAGGGTGTTGGAGGAATATGGAAGCTCCTACCTGTAGGGAGGTAATGGATCCACTGTGCCCCTGTAAGACAGCCATAGGGGCACAGGTACGAAGGCACCACACTCGGATGGTTTTGTCACAGCTGCCAGCCGCCATCAAGGTATTCTCAAAGCTGACAGCCAGGTCTGAGATCTCAGCAGAATGTCCTCGCAGGGTGGAGTGAAGCCTCCCGTCAAACGAAGACCATATCTTCACCAAGCAGTCGTCCGAGCCCTTGAAATTGGGTTTGATAAGGTAGATAAAGTGATGAGCCTCGGGTATACCACCTAACATGATTTCCCCCAAGAACATGATCTTTATCATGACAAAACTCACTGTGAAAATCCTGAGACCGGTTCGATCAAAAGCGATGCAGTAGACTGCAGACAGATGACCCAGAATCCTCCTGTGCATCCGCATGTGCTGATAGTTGCTTACAGGGTTCACAGTGCTGAACTGTTGAGTACCTGTTAGCTCCCTTCCTCTGTACACCTCCACTGTGAAGGACAAAACACTATGATTTAGAGTCCAAACATGTTAACAGAAAATAACACAGAATGTGTTGAGTTATACGCACACATTGAATTTACAGTACCGGCATAAATAGAAAATAATAATGTGTGAACATGTCAATCCTGTGTCAGGGAATACCTAGATTTGGAGGATCCTTGCAGGTCAAAGGCATCTCTGGTGGTCTCCCTCTGTGCAGGGCAGCAAATGATGAGCCTTTCCTCCGAACATTGCCGTAATCTGGAAGAGGTGGAAAGAAGTAAGTAATTTAATCATTTCATTTTACAATTCGATTTCAGAACGAATAGTTGCTGATGTATACATTTAGAAGTCACGCTCAGACAATATACATGTAAAGTTCTGCACCCTTTGATGTTCTGAGTAAGGACTGCCTCCCGGTTCCCAGTAGGGAATGTACACCTGGAACACATGATGGCACCTCTTTGTCCAGAATCGGCCCAATCTGCTTACAGATCTGCAGCAAATGGTCAGGTGAAATGTGTCTGTTGGCTGCAACCTATGGGATCAAACATAAGTGTTGATGATGAGCAGTATGACTCATCCAACTTTCATTGTTAAACCATTATGCATGCTTTGTTCTTTCTTCAATCAAGCTATCCCAACATTTGTACATTTATAGGTTGGGTAGCTATTAAGAGCATTGGGCCAGTAACCGAAATGTCGCTTGTTAGAATCCCCGAGCCGACTAGGTTAAAAAAATCTGTCGATGTGCCCTTGAGCAAACCCTAATTGCTCCTGTAAGTCATTCTGGAGCATCTACTAAATTACTAAAATTTAAAAAATAATAATAATGATGACAGCAGGAATCATGAAACTACAGTACTGCAACCACATTGTCTATTTATTATTGAGATCATCATAGTCTTTCTGTCTAATATTTCTGTACACTGTCAGCCAGTGGCACATGGCACGGTAAGATAATATAAATTCTTTCTTTTTCTAGGCGCAAATAAATATCACTGACATAACTTGGGTTCTTCATGTACATCTGATCTCATTCCACCAGTGTGCTATATTATTTGTGTGCAGAACGCTTTATGTAAAACACATTCTTCAACCGACGAATCACAACACAGGTCACAAGGAAAATAACGCAACGACAGCCTTTCTAGGACGTGGATTGGTCAACAGTGGTGTCCTGACGTAGCCAGAACCCCGAGAGTCCCCACCCTATCTGCAGTACAACAGACACATTTATAAATGCTCTATCAAATGTGTTTCTATACTACAGTGTCAAGCTTTCGAGACATACAAAAATAAGCCATCCTACATACCGGTAAAAGTTAAAATCAGGTTATTATGTAACAAGAATGTAACAACGATTACATCTGAATAGAACAAAGAGTAAATGGCCCAAGCATGGACACACATCGTGGCTGTCATTCAACAATAACAGATATTAGACAATTAATTTACATCTATAGATTATAGACTTACCAAATGTTCGTAAGATCTTGGATGTTCATTTCCTTGCCAGTCTAATCTGCAAGGCAATAGCTATCAAAAAAGGAGCGTGTTAGTGTAAATCACAACACTCAATATGCTAGAAATACTGCCAGAAATTAAGTTAGTAAAAACGTGTGATGTCAAACAAGTGAGGCGGTCAGAGAAGCCTTAAAACTCGTGAGTGAGACAAGTTCTACGTTCCAGTCCAATCGGGATAGCTAGCTACATACACCGACGGCAGAACGCCGCTGCTGCCGGAATACACACCTGATATTCTTCTAGTTCGCTCGCTAGAACCTGCAATAGATGCAAAAATAGGTTTTTCGAATGTGTTGCTTTCATGAACTATTCGCCAACAATTTTGAATAGTAAGAAATTATGTCAATAAGGCACGCCAGTTTACCTCAGCCGCTCTCTGACATGGACCCGTTGTTAGAAAACGTGAAATTAGGTAATATAGCTCTGTAAGTGAATAGAAGAAAATAGTAAACACAATTGGATATCAATTAAATCAAGCTTTATTTATAATTTAAGCAATGAATTAGGAAACTAAATTCGCCTTACCTGATTCAAGGAGCGAAATATTCCGACTTTTGGCCATTGAATCGGCCGTGATTTTGTGAGTGTACAATTTTAAACTAACTTTATGACTAGTGAGAGTATGATATATTTATTTAATTTCGGTTACACTGCTCTGACCCCCTCCACAGTTGCTCCCGCTTTCTAATCAGCCTGCTTTCAGTCGCCATTGGAAGGATGAGGCCTCAGCAATACGAGTTACTTCCGCCACAGCAGAGGAAATAGGGGGTGGGGAACAAGTCTTTATTTTTTGTTCGACTACAACAAAGACAAAGCGTAGCTCGCCCGCTAAATGCACTGATATTCTCTTTGAATGTATTAGAGACCTTTGTATCAATGTAATGAAAGAAAGCAATTTATGCGAAATTATAGTTTAATGACCGCATTGTTGTTGTCTTCGGCAAGGTCGAGTGTCTTGTTGATGACGTCACATGTGATGGCGATACATTTTTTGTCAATCTGTCACATTTTATTTTACTCGGTGCAATTTGTCTTTGATGCATTTACTTAGCTACACTATTTAGGCTTTATTTCAATAACTCAACTGAATAAAGAAAAATATCCCTATGTGGTGTATAGACAAATAGGCTATGCTGATGAGAACAATGCATTATTAGCCTGTGCAGTGCACGATAGGCTTCAATTGCATTGACAAGTTGGCGAAATATTAGTGCTATGACAATTTCAGGAATATCGTTTATTTTTATTTTTAGACATTTGTCTGGAGATATGACATGATAGACCCACATTTCTTACATCATGTAAATGCACTACATGACCAAAAGTATGTGGACACCTGCTCGTGTAACATCTCGTTCCGAAATCATGGGCATTAATATGGAGTTGGTCCTCCCTTTGCTGCTATAACAGCCTCCACTCTTCTGGGAAGGCTTTCCAATAGATCTTGGAACATTGCTGCGGGGACTTGCTTCCATTCAGCCACAAGAGCATTAGTGAGGTTGGGCACTGGTGTTGGGCGATTAGGCCTGGCTCGCAGTTGGTGTTCCAATTCATCCCAAAGGTGTTTGATGGGGTTGAGGTCAGGGCTCTGTGCAGGCCAGTCAAGTTCTTCCACACCATTCTCGAAAAAAACATTTCTGTATGGGCCTCGCTTTGTGCACGGGGGCATTGTCATGCTGAAACAGGAAAGGGCCCTCCCCAAACTGTTACCACAAAGTTGGAAGCACAGAATCGTCTAGAATATCATTGTATGCTGTAGCGTTAAGATTTTCCTTCACTGGAACTAAGGGGCCTAGCTCCAACCATGAAAAACAGCCCCAGACCATTATTCCTCCTCCACCAAACTTTACAGTTGGCACTATTCATTCGGGCAGGAAGCGTTCTCCTATGCAGTGCTCAATAGGCTTCAATTGCATTGACAAGTAAGCAAACTATTAGTGCTATGACAATTTCAGGAATATTTATTTTACATTTTTTGACATTTGTCTGGAGATATGACATGATATGCCCAAATGTCTTACATCATGTAAATACTGTATATTGTTCTCTAGTCTCCATCTGGTGTCTATCCTGCACTCGCATTTGAGGGGTCTTGACTAGATGGGATATGCCGCTGTCAGAAGTGACTTTTCGTAGCAGGTCAGGAGAACTTACGCTGCAGGTTAGGAGAATTAACATAGCAGGTTAGGAGAATTAGGTAAAGGTTAGTTAAAACGCAAACATTCTCCCTGACGCTATTTGAATATGCAAGTTTTAATGTCACTGATATTAGTGGCATCCCTTCAAGACATGACCCATTTCAGGCTACAGTGAGGGAAAAAAGTTTTTGATCCCCTGCTGATTTTGTACGTTTGCCCACTGACAAAGACATGATCAGTCTATAATTTTAATGGTAGGTTTATTTGAACAGTGAGAGACGAATAACAACAAAAACATCCAGAAAAACGCATGTCAAAAGTGTTATAAATTAATTTGCATTTTAATGAGGGAAATAAGTATTTGACCCCTCTCCAAAACATGACTTAGTACTTGGTGGCAAACCCCTTGTTGGCAATCACAGAGGTCAGACGTTTCTTGTAGTTGGCCACCAGGTTTGCACACATCTCAGGAGGGATTTTGTTCCACTCCTCTTTGCAGATCTTCTCCAAGTCATTAAGGTTTCGAGGCTGACGTTTGGCAACTCGAACCTTCAGCTCCCTCCACAGATTTTCTATGGGATTAAGGTCTGGAGACTTGCTAGGCCACTCCAGGACCTTAATGTGCTTCTTCTTGAGCCACTCCTTTGTGGCCTTGGCCGTGTGTTTTGGGTCATTGTCATGCTGGAATACCCATCCACGACCCATTTTCAATGCCCTGGCTGAGGGAAGGAGGTTCTCACCAAAGATTTGACGGTACATGGCCATCGTCCCTTTGATGCGGTGAAGTTGTCCTGTCCCCTTAGCAGAAAAACACCCCCAAAGCATAATGTTTCCACCTCCATGTTTGACGGTGGGGATGGTGTTCTTGGGGTTATAGGCAGCATTCCTTCTCCTCCAAACACGGCGAGTTGAGTTGATGCCAAAGAGCTCCATTTTGGTCTCATCTGACCACAACACTTTCACCCAGTTCTCCTCTCAATCATTCAGATGTTCATTGGCAAACTTCAGACGGCCCTGTATATGTGCTTTCTTGAGCAGGGGGACATTGCGGGCGCTGCAGGATTTCAGTCCTTCACGGCGTAGTGTGTTACCAATTGTTTTCTTGGTGACTATGGTCCCAGCTGCCTTGAGATCATTGACAAGATCCTCCCGTGTAGTTCTGGGCTTATTCCTCACCGTTCTCATGATCATTGCAACTCCATGAGGTGAGATCTTGCATGAAGCCCCAGGCCGAGGGAGATTGACAGTCTTTTGTGTTTCTTCCATTTGCGAATAATCGCACCAACTGTTGTCACCTTCTCACCAAGCTGCTTGGCTATGGTCTTGTAGCCCATTCCAGCCTTGTGTAGGTCTACAATCTTGTCCCTGACATCCTTGGAGAGCTCATTGGTCTTGGCCATGGTGGAGAGTTTGGAATCTGATTGATTGATTGCTTTTGTGGACAGGTGTCTTTTATACAGGTAACAAACTGAGATTAGGAGCACTCTTTAAGAGTGTGCTCCTAATCTCAGCTCGTTACCTGTATAAAAGACACCTGGGAGCCAGAAATCTTTCTGATTGAAAGGGGGTCAAATACTTATTTCCCTCATTAAAATGCTAATCAATTTATACCATTTTTGACATGCGTTTTTCTGTATTTTTTTGTTGTTATTCTGTCTCTCACTGTTCAAATAAACCTACCATTAAAATTATAGACTGATCATTTCTTTGTCAGTAGGCAAACGTACAAAATCAGCAGGGGATCAAATACTTTTTCCCCTCACCGTAAATATTTATGGTACAACAAATGTCATTTGTGTAATAAGAAAAAGTCATATTGAAAAAACAATAACAGATGCACCAGATATGAAAGTTTCATAATTAGGTAAAACTGAGTAGTTATTCATAAAAAATATTAGTTCTGTTATTAATAGGTAACTCATTGGTTGAAATAGAGAATGGGTCATCAACTAGATTCAGCCGCAGAGCGATTTTTTCCCTGAGCGGATGGTCAGGGCCGGAACATAATTATAAATAATGTGTACGCTGCAAACCAGTTGACGATCCCTGAAATATTGCGATTGTCATGCAGCTGCTTGTCGAATAGCCTACTGAGGTGGTGTATGGCTGCACTGGCACTGGCCTAATAATAGAATTGCAGACATATGTATCAAAAAACAATCACACATTTTCAACCAATATGGTATAAGAGAGATATTACAGAGTATTTAATCAATACAGTGTCTGTGAATAAGGAATATCATGCGTTTACAGTTTTTATTTCACGTGTGATCAATAAGAGAACAGAGAAAACAAAGAGAAATTGCAACCATTTTAATTCAATTGGCATGTTTATACCAATCATAACAGATACAGCTACAAAAAAAGGAGAGAAACTGTACATAAAATCCTAAAACCAAATGTAAATCTTGCTACAGCTGCTATGTTCACTTGAAAGATTAAGTGAAAGTACAGTCATGTTTATCAGTATCCTCAAAAGGATTAACTACAACCAGTATGTTTAACACTGTAATGCATTTCATGTTATTAGCTTGGCTAAAAACACATGAACCATCCTCACAACGTACCTACATACTGCATCGAAATTATGAAAAAACCTTAGTTTCACAGCAGCTATATCAAATGTTATTGCAATGCCATCACCGAACAGAGACAAAAAACATTTAACATAATGCACAGGCCTGATGAAAAATCCAGTACATGTACTAGGGAGGATGATGATGAACCATTACTGTGGATTCATAAAACAGTTAATATTCATAGAGCACAGCTTAAACAGTCACCACCTTCCTACAAATTATAAACAAAAATAAAACAAGTGTTATTGTGTATAAACCCCCCAACCCTTCCCCGTACAATACAGGTTAAATAAACTGTCCCTCATAAAGCCTATGGAATGTTAGTGTCATACAAGCTCTCCCAGTTGAATAACAAATTCCTGATATTGGCTTGATTGCATGTCATTGCTGCAAACCTGCCGCCCCCCGCCCCTCTCTGACATCTGCCCCAGACCACAAAAGAAAAGGGAAACACACAATGACCATAACTTTTCTTCCAGAGGTGTAAAAAAAAGTGTTTCTACAATCTTACTACTACACAACCTGCTTTTTCTTAAGAAAATAGTTGATAAAAATATTCCTCTGCATTGTACAAGAAAGGAGGTACAGGGAGCACTGGCAAAAGGGTAAGGATGTTATTCTGCCTCATCCTCCTCTTTCTCAGGCTCATCTGCATCAGCATCTGCCTCTTCTGCTGCCTCCTGGAGGATGAAAAAAAAAAACATTCTCATATTATAGGATAGTTATTTTAGGTCTTGTTGGTTACACAATATTTGTGTGTGTTGGGGACAAACAAGCTGTCAATGGCAATTATAATAGTTGGTCTATTTGTAATACCTAATACTCCTGATTTTGAATTATATATCTCAGTGGCATGGCATATTGTATAATTGAAACTAAGCCAACAAGTCTTACCTCCTCAGCTTTGGCCTCTCCGTTTTCTGCCGGTGCTGCTTCTTCTTCCTCAGGCTCTTCTGTCTTCTCCTCAGGCTTGGCCTTCTCTACTGCCTCCTTTACCTTTTTGGGCTTGGCTGCTGCCTTGACTGGTGTCTACAAGAAACAGACAAACATGAGATACATGTCAATGTACAAATGCATAGTATGTATAATAATTGAGTAGTTTTTGGTTTCAGCAAAAGCTGACAATTACAACATTTGTTTTTACCTTTGCCTTTGCCTTAGGCTCTGGTTTAGCTGGAGTAGTAGGTTTCTGCAATGTAATGAATATTAGATAATTAGTCAAATTACAAATACACAATACCATCTATTCATAGAAAACATCATAAATAGGCTATACAACAAATATTATAATATATAGTAAACTTACTGATGACAACCTCGTGGATCGCCTCTTTGGCTGGTGAGAAAAACAAAAAAGTTAAATCAGTTATTGCAGACAAAATTTATTCATAATGGATTTAACAAATATAACATTTTTAACAGCATGAAATACTAACCTCGACTTCAATGTCATTACTTGCCTGTGAGGGGGGAGAGAAGAAAAAAAATCTTAGTAAAAACCAAGAACAACAATCGCACATTCATTGGTCGGGAGCGGCCAGGGTGTGTAATGCTAGAGGATGGGCTCACATGCTGTACCCCCACCGCTCCACCCCAAATTAAAGAGGTATTATGTAATCTGAAAGTGAGTGGGGGAGGGGAGGCTAACGTATTTACATTACTATGCCATTTGACTTTCCCCATTGGCATGATGCAAAATGGAGCCTTTGTGGGACCAGTTACTGTGAGAGCCACAAGTAAAACAGTATGTTATGGTTAGGCTTTAGTAGCCTATACACATAAAGGCCAAATAGCAGCCCCCACCCCCCCAGCAACACACGGAGACGTGTTACATGAAGGCATCCATCCACCCGCTATGTCAACCAGTCTACTGTATGTTCCCGCCATTAGTAATATCTATAATTCTGTGATCCCGGCCTACCCGTATACGGTGTCGTGCATGTCCACAGAAATTCGCTGTTGCATAATGCAACATGTTACCGAATCAAAGACAGGGAATGCGCACCAACAAATAGCAAAACATTTTAGGCGTGAACACCTATAACTCCGGTGGTCTTTTTCTTTATAACTACTTTTTCGATGACCCCATTAAAGTGATAAATGTCGCTGAGTTGCCGATGCCTTTCGTATTTGCAAGGGCTGCCATGACACCCCAAAGACTGTACCTTTCCATGCCATAGGGTGTCGCGCATTACAATACGCTTTACTGCACACAGGACACAAAGTGATAATATAGGATGTCACAAGCGTCTGTTTTTTAGGATTAAAACTAGGCTACTAAAGGTATTTGAATACAAACGTGAACCCAATATGTAGGCGATTAAAGCACTTCCAATATTCACAAAATATCATTTTGCTCATGCACGCATTTCTGCAATGGCAACATGTAACGTTAGCTTACTTACATTGCTGGTGGGTTACACCCCTTTGTCTGATCTCATTGCTGAGAAGGCTATTAAGCTACTTTACATTCATGAAATACCCAATATATGCGTCAAAGTAAATGATATGATTACGTTACTTGTATAAAAAGCACAAGCTGCGATAGTTTATCCTGTACAGGTTATTACAAGGAGAAAGTGAGATCGAATGGAAAATGTTACTGCACTAAGTAAAAAGGCGCCACTTCCATATCAACAAGACACACACAAAAACACATTCAGACTTTAGAGCAAAAGTGTTACATTGTATTAAGCATATATTAGCGTACATGCAATTGTTGCATGTATTTATAAAACACTTCCTGTGTGAAATGATATATTGTAAAATAAGGTTTAAATTAAAAGGTACACATTCCAACTTACTTTGCTTCTTTTCGGCATGGCTGCTTTACTTGTATTGTCTAGAGAACAAGAGCACAAATTAGCCTTCTCAGTTACTGAAAACTCAGTGCAGGCTTCTGAATGTGTTCGATGTAACACAGTCAGTACCTTCAGAACACACTGTAACTAACATAAATGTTCCATCAGTAGGCCTACGTACAGAAACTAGCTGAAACCGGATTGGATCCCCCCTCTCTATATTGTATTCCTTATCCTACCAACCTGACGGACAATTTATTCTCCGCCCCTTGTTGCCATTGATTGGCTTTAAGGTCTAGGCAACATATTTTTAAACCATAGCAAGTTACCTGTGTGGGTAGGTCTGTATGCCAATCAGTCGTTCCAACTTTCAATTTTTACTAAAGTGGTGGGAATAGCTGGATTCAAAGTTATGTGTTATTTTCGTTGATATTATATTAGAATAATGGGCCCCGTGTAGCTCAGTTGGTAGAGCATGGCGCTTGCAACGCCAGGGTTGTGGGTTCGTTTCCCACGGGGGGCCAGTATGAAAAAAATATATGTATGCACTCACTAACTGTAAATCGCTCTGGATAAGAGCGTCTGCTAAATGACTAAAATGTCAAATGTACACAGTGTAAATTACCCTTATAGAATTGTCAGTATTTTTTTTATTGAATAAAGTAATCTAGAAAATGTGTGGACAATGAACTGATATTACATCTTCTTATAAATATATTTTGCACACTCATAATGATTTGAAGTTAATAAAATATGCTGTATTTGAATGAATAAGAGTTCCTAATGTGAAAATCAGCCCATAGTTCAGCCTGGATGTTGGGTCCCTTTATGATGCGCGCAGCAGCAACAAAGGTTGATAAGAAAAAATGGCTGCCGGGTGCGCTTGGTTCCTGGTGTTGGGATCTGTCTTTTTGTGCAATCTCTTCAAAATACTGTTGCCCACCATTTCCTCTTTCGTAAGTAGCGGTTGTTTAGACATTGGTCGTGTAAGAAATGCAGGGTTGGCTTGTAAATCATGTAATGTTTTGGCAGATTTGCCCAGGTTGGATTAGCTAGCTTGCTATTTTACCTCTCGCGCCCCTCAAACAACAACGAAGCTAACCAACCATTCCATCCTGTTGGTAAATTGTTACATTATATCATGGAAGGTGTGTTAGGCTGATAACAGTGCCATACAGAGCCAGTTAGATAATGCCGTGTAGTTATCTATTGGGTGCAGATTCAAATAGCAACCATAACATGTAAATAAATCTGAGGTCTGATGGTATTTCTAGCATATAGGCATAGAATATGGGTTGTTATAAACTGGGTGGTTCGAGCTCTGAATGCTGATTGGCTGAAAGCCATGGTATAGGAGACCATATACCATTGGTATGACAAAACATTTATTTGTAATGTTCTATTTACTTTTGTAACCAGTTTATAATAGCAATAAGGCACCTCTGGGGTTTACGGTATATGACCCACATACCATGGCTAAGGGCTGTATCCAGGCACTCTGCTGTGCTTAAGAACAGCCCTTAGATGTGGTATATTGGCCACCACACCCCCCCGTGCCTTATTAAGCAATACAGTCCTAAACCAGGTGTTACATGTTCTCATGCAGTAAACCATAAATGACCCAAGGAGGCAGAAACATACTTGTCACTTGCCAAGGCAATTTAATTACAAAGAAAATAGACTTTTAAATGAGTAAAACATTTGGTACCCTACATGTGAATGCAATTACATTTTTACATTTTAGTCATTTAGCAGATGCTCTTATCCAGAGCGACGTACAGTTAGTGAGTGGATAATTTTTAAAAAATTCAATTCATGAACGTCATTGTATCAGAACAACACATTTAACAGGATGACGTACAGTGTTTATCGGACATAATACAACTTTCCAATACCTTGGCACTTTTGTTGCAGTAACATATACTGGTAACTAGCTCTCAAACTCTAGGCGGCATTCTGCCTTCTACCTACAGTTTTCAGCCATTAGCTTCGTCCACGACTACCTCATGTGAACTACAATCCTGACGCTTTGTTTTAACGTTTAGAAACATCACTAATCATCGCTTGCGATATGGCTTTCGAAACATATGGCCTTTATCTTTCATCAGGGAGAAAGAATGTTTAAAATAAAAAAATATACACTTACTGTAGCAGTTTTGCACAGATCCATACAGCTATGGCTGCCTTCATCCGACGAAACTACACTTCCCGAGTTACGTTTACACACAGGTGTTCGGAGCGTGCTAATTAGCACTGGTGGCCGCCTCTTGGCTTCCATAAACAAGCGCTGTAACATGGAGATACGGCCGTGTGGGAACACTGACCCAAAACCTATCAAGGTGTGTATCAATTTAACCTTTATTTCTCGCTGATATAAAAGGTAAGGTCCTTATGCTTCCAAAATCATACCTCAAGCGACGCGTGTTAATGTTCAGATTGAGCGTCGGACGCCTTCGTCCAATGACTTATGTGTAATGAAACAGAGTCATGATCAAGGGCTAACTGGTAACCATCCCAAAGTTATCTCCTATGAGAAACCAGGCTAAACCTGTAGTGTATTAGCCCTGCTGCAGGCAGATGGCGCTATCATTCCTTACGTATTTGGTCATTTCCCTTTGAAAATGACAAGACTTATGGAATAATAGCGCCATCTGGTGGCAGCAGGCCTAGTAGTGTGTGTTTGCTATGTTCTAGCGAAATATACAATGAAATGTTTGTCTGTTGGGATGTGAAGTTGTCGAAGGTCCTTCAGAACGATGCTGAGCAGGAGAGGGATATGAGGGCTGAGATCCAGGAGATGAAGAAGGAGCACAACTCCGTTAGCATGATGGATGAGTTCGCCAGATACGCCAGACTAGAGCGCAAAATCAACAAGATGACGGACAAGCTGAAGACACATGGTAAGAGAGACACACAATTTAAATTGATGTCCGCATGACATTTTCCACTTTTATAGACGTTTTTTCTGGATCAAAAATGGGTGTGGCAGAGGGCGTGGCAATTCTTATGCTCAAACATAATAACAAATTCAATACTGTTAAATTCATTGCTTTTGGAATTTGTAATTCTCCGTGACTTTCTAGCTTTTATTTTGGTTATTGTTAGTTCTCAAAGGTTATTTATTTATTCTACATACTTTATATCTGGTTTTAGTTGTTTAAGTTTACACTGAAAACGTTTTTCCATCCCAAAAATTATTTGTATTATATATTTTTTAATTTAACACTGTTTGGACTTAGGTGTGCCGAAAAAATGCTTAGGCTGCCCGCCCAAGGATTACAATGGCAGAAAAATCCCTGATAGAGATAAAAGTGAGACATTATCACACCTTTGTTAGGGTTAGATGAAAGTCAGACTTTTACTATAGCTCAGTGGAGGCTGGTGGGAGGAGCTATAGGATGTTTGATACCATTCCATTGATTCCATTACAACTATTAAGATGAGCCCCTCCTCCTGTAGCTCCTCCCAAATCAAATCAGCAGATGTCACAAAGTGCTTATACAGAAACCCAGCCTAAAACCCCAAACAGCAAGCAATGCAGATGTAGATACAGATGCTATAGCTCCCTCATTTACAACCTCTGATCTTCTATACGATAAGCGGCAAAAAGGTGGGAAACCAAATGATCCATACCTCTAGGTTTTTCAAACTGCTCTCTTTATTTTTATTTTATTTTACCTTTATTTAACTAGGCAAGTCAGTTAAGAACAAATTCTTATTTACAATGACGGCCTACACCGGCCAAACCCGGACGACGCTGGGCCAATTGTGCGCCGCCCTATGGGACTCCCAATCACAGCCTCGCTACTGCCTATATGGGACTTGCATGTTAACGCACCACGTGTGGACAGTGGGAGGTGGGGTTTAGATAACAGACTGAGTGTTCACTGGAGGGCCTCGTGGTGCAGCTGCTGCCTGTTGCTCTCCTTCATGTCCAGGCCACAGCTCTGAGCTCTACAGAGGCAGGAAGCATAGTATAGAGCTCCATTACGAGTGGGTGTCATATAGACACACACCCCATTGACTATCAGACAACAACCAAATGTCTCCAACAGCCATTTGCCAAGAGTTAATCAGACAACAACCAAATGTCTCCAACAGCCATTTGCCAAGAGTTAATGTTATATGGTCCTCTGTAGCTCAGCTGGTAGAGCACAGCGCTTGTAACGCCAAGGTAGTGGGTTCGATCCCCGGGACCACCCGTACACAAAAAATAAATAAAAATGTATGCACGCATGACTGTAAGTCGCTTTGGATAAAAGCGTCTGCTAAATGGCATATTATCATTATTATATGAATGGTAGCCTTTGCATTACACTATGGCGCCTGCCCTGCAACCGTAAGGGTTATGACAGAGCAAACAGGGAAATATTATACTCAGATGGGGATTTTCTTTGTTGATGAAAAATTATGTTATGGACAAATTCTCAGGAATGAGAATGGTTTGTTTAGAAAACATTCCTCAGTGGTGTTCTGTTACAGTATTTTTACAGTGGCAAATACAGGTTGTGACAAAAACCCCAAGGCAATTTTTATGTTTTGGTTTGAAAATACCTAGTTTTGAATTTGTCAAAATGACCAAAAAAGTCCACACGTTCACTCTTTACCACATTGTTTAGATGAGTCACAACGTAGGTGACCTTGATATATGGTGTTTCGTACGTTGAGAAAACCAACTTTTTGTCTCTAGAGCCTCCCTACTGTACACCCAAACAGCTGTCTCTCACTCGCTCCCCCGCTGTCTCAGTTCAGGGCCACTGCCTATCAACCAACGTGCCTTCAAGTTCAAATCCTGTTGTTCAACGACAGGAATATTTAACTATTTTGGAATGAAAAGCGTTTTCACAATGAAATGCACCACATGCGTATTTCTCCAGTCATATGCACTGTATACACTGGTCACACATCAGTCTTATTTGTCCCTGCCAACCCCTCCCTTATGCCATACCATAAAAAGCAGGTTCTATTCCAATGCATGTTGTGTAGTATACACTGAAATTAATTGTGAAGAACACCCAAAAGTTAACTGTTATTAGATCTGTCAAAATTCCTAACATTACTGTATGTTTGTAGGCATTTTAGTGGATATTTATTTGATATTTAGAGAATGGATACCAATAATTCATTTAGATGGTTCCTGCGCAGATAAGATTGATCAGTTTTTTTTTCTTCTTCTTACAGTCAAGTCAAGAACTGCTCAACAAGCCAAAATGAAATGGATGGTGAATATAGGTTTTTACATCCTGCAGGTGAGTGTTAAACATTGAAATGAGAAATATGTCCTATATTCTTTAATAGGTACAAAATATACAGTGGGGGAAAAAAGTATTTAGTCAGCCACCAATTGTGCAAGTTCTCCCACTTAAAAAAGATGAGAGGCCTGTAATTTTCATCATAGGTACACGTCAACTATGACAGACAAAATGAGAAAAATACATCCAGAAAATCACATTGTAGGATTTTTAATGAATTTATTTGCAAATTATGGTGGAAAATAAGTATTTGGTCACCTACAAACAAGCAAGATTTCTAGCTCTCACAGACCTGTAACTTCTTCTTTAAGAAGCTCCTCTGTCCTCCACTCGTTACCTGTATTAATGGCACCTGTTTGAACTTGTTATCAGTATAAAAGACACCTGTCCACAACCTCAAACAGTCACACTCCAAACCCCACTATGGCCAAGACCAAAGAGCTGTCAAAGGACACCAGAAACAAAATTGTAGACCTGCACCAGGCTGGGAAGACTGAATCTGCAATAGGTAAGCAGCTTGGTTTGAAGAAATCAACTGTGGGAGCAATTATTAGGAAATGGAAGACATACAAGACCACTGATAATCTCCCTCGATCTGGGGCTCCACGCAAGATCTCACTCCATGGGGTCAAAATGATCACAAGAACGGTGAGCAAAAATCCCAGAACCACACGGGGGGACCTAGTGAATGACCTGCAGAGAGCTGGGACCAAAGTAACAAAGCCTACCATCAGTAACACACTACGCTGCCAGGGACTCAAATCCTGCAGTGCCAGACATGTCCCCCTGCTTAAGCCAGTACATGTCCAGGCCCGTCTGAAGTTTGCTAGTGTGCATTTGGATGATCCAGAAGAGGATTTGGAGAATGTCAGATGAAACCAAAATAGAACTTTTTGGTAAAAACTCAACTCGTCGTGTTTGGAGGACAAAGAATGCTGAGTTGCATCCAAAGAACACCATACCTACTGTGAAGCATGGGGGTGGAAACATCATGCTTTGGGGCTGTTTTTCTGCAAAGGGACCAGGACGACTGATCCGTGTAAAGGAAAGAATGAATGGGGCCATGTATCGTGAGATTTTGAGTGAAAACCTCCTTCCATCAGCAAGGGCATTGAAGATGAAACGTGGCTGGGTCTTTCAGCATGACAATGATCCCAAACACACCGCCCGGGCAACGAAGGAGTGGCTTCGTAAGAAGCATTTCAAGGTCCTGGAGTGGCCTAGCCAGTCTCCAGATCTCAACCCCATAGAAAATCTTTGGAGGGAGTTGAAAGTCCGTGTTGCCCAGCGACAGCCCCAAAACCTCACTGCTCTAGAGGAGATCTGCATGGAGGAATGGGCCAAAATACCAGCAACAGTGTGTGAAAACCTTGTGAAGACTTACAGAAAACGTTTGACCTGTGTCATTGCCAACAAAGGGTATATAACAAAGTATTGAGAAACTTTTGTTATTGACCAAATACTTATTTTCCACCATAATTTGCAAATACATTCATTAAAAATCCTACAATGTGATTTCTCTGGATTTTTTCCCCTCATTTTGTCTGTCATAGTTGACGTGTACCTATGATGAAAATTACAGGCCTCTCATCTTTTTAAGTGGGAGAACTTGCACAATTGGTGGCTGACTAAATACTTTTTTCCCCCACTGTACATACCTTTTTTAAATGTCTGTTGTCACCAACAGAGACATGCACAAGTGATTGTGAAGCACTGAATCAGGCTGTTTTCTGTTGTCTCTCTAGGCTGCTCTGATGATCTCACTGATTTGGAAGTATTATGCTGACCCAGTGACTGTTGTACCCAGTAAGTGGATTGCCCCCCTGGAGCGGCTGGTGGCTTTCCCATCTGGAGTAGCAGGTACATTGTGTGATTACAACGCCTGAGAATTGAGGCCCACTCGCTTTCACTTGGGTTAATTCATTGTAATCAAGTTTAAGAGTTAGTATTGGCTAATTATAGACGACTACTGAACGTCTCTTTTATTCGGTCTTTTTAAACACTGAAGATAGAATCACATGACTCTTTTCCCCTCTTAACATGGAATTTAAAACTCTGTGTTGCACTTTCTTTTCTTTTGAAAACTGACATCAAATACTACTAACTGCCAACTCTGACCATAACTATTTGAACCCAGTCTTTGTATCCTTTCAGGTGGTGTTGGAATCACATGCTGGCTGGTGGTGTGCAACAAAGTGGTGTCTATTGGTCTACATGCTGTTAGCTAAGGAATGGTATCTTTTCATGTCTTATTTATTCCCCAAATGCTCTGAGAATAAAGTCAGGCGGTGTTACTCAGCGCATTGATATTAAAGTGTAAATCGGTACTGTTGGTAAGCACTTTTACAAAGCACCACATATTCAAACGTTGCCTTACATTGCTAGTGTTATTGCACATATTTGACGGTCTCTCATGTTGGCTTTGGAATCGGATGTTATTTCACAAATTGCTACACTGCGTAATGATTGTATGAGCATGTTTTAATGACCATTTATTTAAATCTCATTCCAACTTATTGAAATGAGTTGAGCAAGAAGTGTTAAAATTGTTTAATATTGTTATGTAATTTTGTTAATTGTTATTCATGTTAATTGTAGGCATGGTCTGTGGCACATTTTCATTTGCTGAATGAAAGCTGAACTAATATCACAAAGTTTACTGTTTGGGTTTTGGAAGTGTTGAAGTATGCATACTTCAACACAATAAAGAATTAAAACTGAAGGCCTCAAGTGTTTGTTGTTCTTAGCATCTTGGGTATTTTACAGAGGCTGTTACAAAATTGTACAATGTACCATTGTGGCATAGGAATGGTCTTCATTGAATGTTGCTTTCATTACAATCTGATTTCAAGGGAGTTAAGGAATTTGTCATGAGCAATAGTGTCAGAATGTTTGTGATGCTCTAATCACAAACAGAGAGCTTAATTTGACCTCTGTAACAAATAGTTGAACAATACTTTCCAGGTATATAATCATTATAAATATAATGTATACAAATACTCCATTTACTAATGTGTTGAGTTGCCATGGCAGATGAAAGATTTATTAAAATAATCAACTTATGAAAATAGATTATCATTTTGTATTGTTCTTGGGTCAATCAAAAATGATCTTGGTCTCTCTCCCAGGTGAGACCGGGCTAGTGTCTCCTGTATGGTAAGATGACATTCTGTCCAGGTCCGTGCTTTGAACTCTGGATCTGCCTTTCTGCATGGCCATTGGATCAGTGATTGGGGCCTGGCCGAAAAGCTCTTTCATCAAGCTGCTCTTCTTGCTGCGGACTACGCCTTCCTCCGGTTGAGGGCCCGTGGTGTCTGCTGGTATAGTGACAAAGGAGGGCTCATACGCCCCAGACCCCAGGTTCTCCACCCTGGCCTGGCTCTTGATGTATCTAGGAGGGCTCTTTCTCAGGCTGTGGGTATGGCTGGTATAGGCAGGCTTTCCACTGTGTAGGTTCTGGATGGTTTCTTTGAATTTGTAGAGGCGCTTGGTCCTGGGAGAGGATTCAAGGGCCTTGTTGGCACGTTCTGTATTAAGAAAGTCCTCCGGAGTGTACCGGACCTGGCTTTCAAATGGCTCTGTTTGCTCTCCTGAAGCCTTTGGGGAACTCGCTGCCTTCTCTGCAAGGCAATTCTCCTCACCCTGAAGCTGTGGATCCTCCTCAGAACCACCATCCAACTCTCCATCCTCTGTGGATAAATATGATAGTTGCTTGCACTTTTGAAAAACATTTAGGGTTGTCAATCCCCTGGCTTTTTTTGTGGATATAACATGACACAGGAAAGGTTATTTCAGTCCTGTTAATTACTATGACACGTGAGCTTTAATTACTCCCAATGTTTGGGAGTTTGCTGTCTTGTTTGCATATACTCTGTGACTGGAGAGTACATACCAGACTCTTCAGAGTGTAATTTAACCATTTATTTCCTCAATATCCACTTAGCTTCGCATCTGTTCATTGGTAGTCCCAATAGGCTGTAGTAAAGTTTTTAAAAAATCCTTACCAGCATAGTCTTCATTATCGTTTGATCCTCTGTCATCCACTGACGTGTCTGCTGCGTCACTTCTGTCTGTGAAGTCGATGGCAAAGGACTCCTGAAAAAAACAACCAGATATCAACTTTACACTGGAACTCACTACACAAACTTTTATCAAGGAGTTACTCTTTTGCTTCTATCGGTCAATATTGAATAAATGTTTTATTGACCGTTACCCATTTATACAGCTTTCTGCAAAGAATGTGAGAGAGAACGAAATCCATGAACGTACCCAGCTCAAACTCTTCTGCTTCTCCAACTCCAGATGTTCAAGTGAACTGGCATATTCTAGTTCAAGTTGGCATGGAGCCTCGATGGGGAGAGAGGATAAGTCATCTGTTTGAACAGATTTAGTTTCTCTTGCCCCTGTAAATGGGAAAAGATATTCAGCCTCAAGTAAAAACAAATAGTCCGATCTGGATCATGGGTTGTACAGGTTAAAATTAAAGTAGCTCATAATGTCTTTGTACCTTTTCCGTTCCAGCCTTTTGGAAATCTATGTGAGTAGATATTGTGGATCTCCAATTCTCTCTCTTTTTCCTATATTTCATGTTAAATGCGTCAGTTAGCCATTTCTCAAGAATGCAATATGTACAATAAATGTATCATCCTGATATCTGTTACCAGGCATGTTTGTTGCCAGTTGCCTGACGACTCAAACTGAATTAGTCTGCTGCTCTTCTGTTCGCTACATACTTCAGTCTGAGACTGCCGTAGTTTGTGGTGAAGTCAAAATGAGGGGTGTTGTACTAAACAAAGTAATCAGCGATTGGATAATTTCTAACCAATTAGAGAATCAAAGCCAATGACAATTTTTCAAAACGCCGCCTTACCCATGCGTGTTCTGACTCTGGCCCAACAAATCGGTTTCTGGGACCAATCAGAACGGTTAGAATGTGTTTGCATTCTAAAAATCATTGGGGAGGTACTCCGATCCAGGCTCATTGCTGAGAAGAAACTAACGTCCGTGGGCATGGCGTAGCGTTTACAAGAGGGAAAATGAGTATTTAGCTTCAATTATGCCTTCAGAAATACAGCTGTATTAGACTCCCTCTTGTGTTTACATTGCAGTACTGCGAGTTAAATGACTGTCACTCTTTCAAACAACACTACACTCCAAAACTACTCAGATCTGGAACAGTTTACCTACACTGATTGTACAAAACATTATGAACACCTGCTCCTTCCATGACATAGACTGACAAGGTTGGGGGGGGGGGGGGGTGTTCCTAATGTGTTTTATACTCTGTGTATGTTGCTGCTCTCAAGTACTTATAAACTTACTTTGATTTTTTTGGTCGACAAACTGATCTGTGCCTGGAGGTAATCAGACAGCTCTCTGGCCTCATTGGTCTTCCTTGTTTCTGTGGCAAGATGGCGATTGAAGGATATCTGTCTCAGCTCAAGATTTCTTTCCAAGTCCTGCGACACACAATATATTTAAGTTTCACTACAGGTATAACATTGTGATACTATGTGTACAGTATCAATCTAACATAACTGTATTGACCCTGTCCATCTATATTGGTCTCCCCGTAGAAGACCAATACAAATGGACAGAGTTGAAAACCCAATTAGTTTCAATACAGACATCCACCTGGCCTGTGAACATGGAGTCAGCCCTGCCATGTGAGTGCATGTACTGTACCTGTATCCTCTTGTTCTTCCTGTTCAGGTCCACAGTGATCAGGGCCAGCCTGTGGCTCAGCTCTTCCCTCTCTTCCAGGCTGCGGTCCTCGCTGAGCAGCTGCAGCCGATGCAGAGCATCCTTGGTGCGCAGCAGCTCCTCCTCCGTGCCCCTCAGATGCCTGGACAGACTGTTGCGGCGGATGCGGGCTTTGCGCAGGAGCTCCTGCAGACCGCGCACCTCGCTGCCGTGCTTGGCCAGGACCTGAGGGTGTGGGTGGGTGCAAAACATTATGACCTTAGCCAATGCTACAAAATCAGATGATTGTTGTTATCTGATGAGTTTGTTATAGATCAGTTATTAAAGCCCGAAAGAAAAACTGCAGCGTACCTGGGGAAGGCCACTCTGTGAATCCTGGAAGTGCTGTAGCGCCAGCATGTGGCGGCCCTGGAGCTGCTTCAGCAGCTTGTTCTCTGTGGAGACACCACTCAGCTGCTGCTGTAGCTCCCACACTTGGCTGTTGAGCTCCTCAATGCGGTGCCTGTGGGCAGACCTGATGCGCTGGTTTGAGCCCTCCAGGAGCTTGATTGGAGGGAAGAGAGGGGCCTTGCGTTTCCTTGAATCAGTGTTTTTCTTATTTTTGCACCACTGCCCTCTCTTGTTTTGCGCTGAGAGGAAAAAAGCACCTAAGTGTGATGCTTACATTGGAATATGCAGCAAACCATCTTGGCCTATAGGCCTACACTTACAGTGCATTCGGGAAGTATTCAGACCCCTTCCCTTTTTCCACATGTTGTTACGTTACAGCCTTATTCTAAAATGGATTAAATAAAAAATTGTCCTCAACAATCTACACACAATACCCCATAATGACAAAGCAAAAACTGTTTTTTATAAATTTTTGAAAATGTATAAAAAATAACAAACTGAAATACCTTATTTACATAAGTATTCAAACCCTTTGCTATGAGACTCGAAATTGAGCTCAGGTGCATCCTGTTTCCATTGATCATCCTTGAGATGTTTCTACAACTTGATTGGAGTTCACCTGTGGTCAATTCAATTGATTGGACATGATTTGGAAAGGCACACACCTGTCTATATTAGGTCCCACAGTTGACAGTGCATGTCAGAGCAAAAACCAAGCCATGAGGTCGAAGGAATTGTCTGTAGAGCTCCGAGACAGGATTGTGTCGAGGCACAGATCTGGGGAAGGGTACCAAAAAATGTCTGCAACAGTGTGGCCTCCATCATTCTTAAATGGAAGAAGTTTGGAACCACCAATACTCTTTCTAGAGCTGGCCACACAGCCAAACGGAGCAATCGGAGGAGAAGGGCCTTGGTCAGGGAGGTGACCAAGAACCCAATGGTCACTCTGACAGAGCTCCAGAGTTCCTCTGTGGAGATGGGAGAACCTTCCAGAATGACAATCATCTCTGCAGCACTCCACCAATCAGGCCTTTATGGTAGAGTGGCCAGACAGAAGCCGCTCCTCAGTAAAAGGCACATGACAGCCCGCTTGGAGTTTGCCAAAATGCATGTAAAGGACTCTCAGATCATGAGAAACAAGATTCTCTGGTCTGATGAAACCAAGATTGAACTCTTTGGCCTGAATGCAACCGTCACATCTGGAGGAAACCTGGCACAATCCCATGGTGGTGGCAGCATCATGCTGTGGGGATGTTTTTCAGCGGCAGAGACTGGGAGACTAGTCAGGATCGAGGGAAAGATGAACAGAGCAAAGTAATGAGAGATCCTTGATGAAAACCTGCTCCAGAGCGCTCAGGACCTCAGACTGGGACGAAGGTTCACCTTCCAACAGAACAATGACCTTAAGCACACAGCCAAGACAAAATTCAGGAGTGGCTTCGGGACAAGTCTCTGAATGCCCAGCCAGAGCCCAGACTTGAACCCTTTTGAACATCTCTCCAAGCTGACAGAGCTTGAGAGGATCTGCAGAGAAGAATGGGAGAAACTCCCCAAATACAGGTGTGCCAAGCTTGTAGCAGCATACCCAAGAAGGCTCGAAGCTGTAATTGCTGCCAAAGGTGCTTCAACAAAGTACTGAGTAAAGGGTCTGAATACTTATGTAAATGTGATATTTCCATTTTTTATTTTAAATACATTTGCAAAAAAATCTAAAAAACAGTTTTTGCTTTGCCATTATGGGGTATTGTGTGTAGATTGATGAGGAAAAAAACAATTTTATCAATTTTAATATAAGACTGTAACGTAACAAAATGTGGAAAAAGTCAGGGGGGCTGAATACTTTCCGAATGCACTGTACGTCATTATAGCTAGGCTATTATAGCTAGGCTGTCTGTAGTAATGAGAAGATATGAAATATCACATACTAAGTGCTTTGGCTGTCATCGTGCCAAGACCTGGCTTCTTGCTTGGTGAGAGGGCAAAGGTCCTATTTGCAGTAGTGTCAGCCTCCTCCTCGTAGTCTGACTGGGTGCATGACCCCTGAGAGTCTTCCCTGCTGACTGTCCTACTGCTGTATCCCCTGCTTGACCTGGACAGGGTGGACTGGCCTGAGGAGCAGCTTGAGTCTGCATCCCCTGCACAAACTTCATAGTTAGCATTGTCCTGCTGCACTATGCCTCTGGTGTGGTGTCTCAGACTCAGAGACATGTCTCCCTGGCCAAAGATGAGCCTGCACCAGTTTCTGTAATATAGCAGACAGATATCCAATTAGTTGAAGTAGTTAATTTAGCCACACTGTATGTTAAATTATAAGAATCAAAGCAATCTATACTTTCAACTATAGCATACTTACATTAATTAATAGTATAATCCGTTTAGCTAGCTATCTAACGTTATCTAGCTAGGTCTAGCCAGTTGAAGACACCGAGAGAGTGACAGACATTCCTTGATTGAAAACCTTTCCTGACTTCAACTATTCTACATAGCTAACTAACAACCAAGCCTAATAATTCCCCATGCCAAGGCCATCCCTACATTCAATTATTAAAATATATTTTTCTCCCCCCACTCACTTGCATTCAGTTTAGTTATTATTTATTTTCAATAGCAAGAGACAGTCATTGACCGATTATGTTGTTGGCTGGCTGTCTCTGAACATGTATTTGTGGTTGCCCTAGAAACAAGCGTTCTCTAGAATAGGACGATGGGAAACGTAGTTGTCTGGCTACTGAACTGCGTTAGAAAACGTTCTAATTCTATGGGCAAATCATGATAGACGAGGAATGTTATTGCATTCCTTGATCATAGGACATTTCTTTGAACTGACTGCTTTTGGGAGAATTAAAGACCACACCATCCTAATTTGTAAATAAACTCAAATTGTTTTCAACTAAACCAATTATATTAGACTTATAGTACATGTTCGCAATTGTTTGTTTTGATCAACTTTCAGGATATACTACAAGAAAAAAAACGACACACTAGCCTATAATAAACACGCACACTGTAGATCTACAAAAAAAAACTGTTAGGCCTATAGATAAACATGGTCCAACAGCATACATTGCAACCGCCCGTTTTAACTCTTGGTTTTGTTTTCACTAGTTGCTCTGTTGGTCAGTGGCTATTTCTGTCCATATATGCACTTTGCAAGTAGCTGCAAACTAACTTTGTGGTCCCCATGCCGACAGACAGCTGAAGTTGCCAATCATTCGGTTAGCGCTGCACCCCTAGAAACCTGGCCCACCAATCCTGCGGTGATGGAGAGTTTAGGGACAAAAATAGCCTCAGTGGTGTGGCTTGTGTTCGCAGAGTAATGTCATGGGTGCGCTCTACTATTAGGGGAGGCAGCCTTTATCTTTAATAACCTACGCTACTACCTCATTCTACAGAACGCATTGTAACAAAATGGTTATAAAAGTATTTCTAGCTTCTTCATCTGGATCAACAGCGGTAAGCATTTACCCGAGTCTTTGTTTTTAAATGCTATTAACTTTGTTGGCCGGTTTCCCACGACTTTTGTTCAGCTCTTAATTCATGCGTTTATGTGACTGGCAAACAGATTAAAATCGGTTCAAATTATTATAGGCAATTTAGCGGTTTGTCAACTTTTAGTACCATTATTTGGGTCTAACTTCTCAGTTGAGGAGCACTGGGACTACCCGAGTTTCCTTATATATCTTGACCGTCGCTGAGATCACATTCCAAACCTGCAACAGCAATCTGTTGAAAATGAATCACCATGCATTCACTTGCAGAACCTTCTGGAATATATTTGAATTACCTCAAACCTAATCTACAGTATCAAAGAAAATGTACACTACATTACCAAAAGTATGTGGACACCTGCTCGTCGAACATCTCATTCCAACATTATGGGCATTAACATGGAGTTGGTCCACCTTTGCTGCAATAACAGCCTCCACTCTTCTGGGAAGGCTTTCCACTAGATGGTGGAACATTGCTACAGGGACTTGCTTCCATTCAGCTACATTAGTGAGGTTGGGCACTGATGTTGGACGATTAGGCCTGGCTCGCAGTCGGCGTTCCAATTCATCCCAAAGGTGTTCGATGGGGTTGAGGTCAGGGCTCTGTGCAGGCCAGTCAAGTTCTTCCACATGGATCTCGACAAACCATTTCTGTATGGACCTTGCTTTGTGCATGGTGGCATTGTCATGCTAAAACAGGAAAGGGCCTTCCCCAAACTGTTAACACAAAGCTGGAAGCACAGAATCGTCTAGAATGTCATTGTATGCTGTAGCTTTACGATTTCCCTTTACTGGAACTAAGGGGCCTAGACCGAACCATGAAAAACAGCCCCAGACCATTATTCCTCCTCCACCAAACTTTACAGTTGGCACTATGCATTGGGGCAGGTAGCGTTCTCCTGGCATCCGCCAAACCCAGATTCGTCCGTCGGACTGCCAGATGATGAAGCGTGATTCACCACTCCAGAGAACGCGTTTCCACTGCTCCAGAGTCCAATGGCAGCGAGCTTTACACCACTCCAGCCAACGCTTGGCATTGCACATGGTGAATTTAGGCTTGTGTTCAGCTGCTCGGCCATGGAAACCCATTTCATGAAGCTCCCGACAAACAGTTCTTGTGCTGACGTTGCTTCCAGAGGCAGTTTGGAACTCGGAAGTGAGTGTTGCAACCGAGAACAGACGATTTTTACGCGCTTCAGCACTCTGCAGGCCCGTTCTGTGAGCTTTTGTGGCCTACCACTTCGCGGGTGAGCTGTTGTTTCTCCTAGATGTTTCCACTTCACAATAACAGCACTTACCGGGGCAGCTCTAGCACGGCAGACATTTGACGAACTGACCTGTTGGAAAGGTGGCATCCTATGATGGTGCCACATTGAAAGTCACTGTGCCATTCTACTGCCAATGTTTGTCTATGGAGATCGATGGCTGTGTGCTCGATTTTATACACCTGTCAGCAACGGATGTGGCTGAAATAGCTGAATCCACTAATTTGAAGGGCGTGTCCACATACTTTTGTATATATAGTGTATGATATGTGAATGGGTTCTTTGTCCAGAAACTATAAAACAAGAAGTGAAAAGCTTTCATTAATGTATTAGTCTTCTACTCTCCCCAACCTAATAATAGAAAAAAGCAGCCAAACATGATCTCATAAAGAATAAACCTATCTATACTGTGTTTGTTGTCTGCCTGTACACCTGTGTGATGGTCCAGATCAAAAAGAAGCAACAGGATGTGCTTGGGTTCCTGGAAGCCCTCAAAGTGGACTACGCTCAATTGGACATTGCCTGCAATGAGGACAACCGCATGTGGATGAGGGAAAATGTCCCTGTGGAGAAAAAGCCCACCAACGGGATCCCCCTACCCCCTCAGATCTTCAACGAAGAGAGCTACTGTGGGGTGAGCATAACAAGATCATGTAGAAGGTGTGGTGACCAACAAGCCTACTCCCTACTGAATGGTTCAGGTAAAGGTGGGGGGAAAGTGTCCATTCAAAGGCTGAGAAAACGATTGGGGACTAAACAGAAATGTCTCATTTGTCTTTTACCATAGGACTACGAGACATTCTTTGACGCCAAAGAAGACAATGCAGTGTATGCCTTCCTGGGTCTGCCACCTCCTCCAGGGTCCAAGGTTGGAATTCAACTTTCACTTACTTTTCTAAAATTTTAATTATGTTTATATAGCTTTTTAGCTATAGATTACAACCACACAACGTGTTTTCCACTCAAGGGATTTTATAATGCAAATAAACTCGCCCCAAAATGGTTCACCTCCATGTCAGGGCCAGGCAGTTTTAATGTTTGTTTAGCTGAAATGCTCAGCCATGTATTGTCCTCCTAATTTGTTTTCGCTCAATTGCCTTTAGTAGGTTGAGACATGTCTGAGTGCACTCCACATATCATATTCCTTTGGAGGGCAAGTAGGAGTTAGTGAGGTTAATTGTATGAGAGGGATACAATGTGACATGTAGGCTAACGTAGTTGAGGATGATGCAACTGTGTTAAACAACCTGCCAATTTTCCTTGGTGCAGGAAGCGAAAGAGGCGGAAAAGGCATTTATCCTTGAGAATAGGCCTGTTGAAAATGGGACTGTTGAGAATGGGCCTGTTGAAAATGGGACTGTTGAGAATGAGACCGTTGAGAACGGAACCGTTGAGAGTGAGACCGTTGTGAACGGAACTGATGATGCTGAGGATGAAGAGAACCTTGAAGCTGAGGAGGTTGAGGAGGAGAACCTTGATGACACACTAGTAATACCTTTCTCTGATCCCCTCAGTCCCTGTCTCACCTTTACCATTTCTCCCCGGTTTCCTCCCATCCAGCATAACCTTTTTGTATAATAGGACTGTTCTTACAGAAGAGTCTGATGCTGTTGTAAAAAATTATGATATGAACATTTATATGGAGATATATTAAGAAAAAAGTACATTAAGCAAACTTCTCAACTCACTTTGGGATGCTGCCAAACCGAAGAGATTGACCTGGTGCATGAGCATCACAGAGAAATTATTTTTTATATTTTTTTTCAAGGAGGTGGCCAGGGACAGCAGAGAAAGTATTGCCCAGCTGAACCTGTGATCTTCCTCTAACAAATTCCACAGGCTTTTAGAGGGTGCTGTTTCAAGAAGAGTGCAAATTGAGTTCATTTTACTGGACCAGCTTCATGGGTATTTCTGGGAAAACAGTTCAGCCGCCCTCTGCTTTCGCAGTTATCCAGAGTACCAGGCCGGTTTATTTTCCATTTAAGTTGCAATGATGTGGTACTGTTGACTGGACTGATTTAGCTGGCTTCCGGCAGTGTGATAATATGCAGTCTTCCTTGCTACAGCATACATCATTGCAAACCTCTCATTTCTCTCCACAGCACCAATATGCTGCTATTCATCACCTTGTAACCATATGTAATTTCCCTTCATTTATTCATGCATTTTCCTTTACTCAGAGGAGCTGCTGATGCTGATGCCTTACTCTGTGATGTCTTTGAACATGTGACTCCAGCAGTAGGGCTGCTCCCCTCCTGGTGTTTGTGTGCCCATGACAGCTGCTGAGTCATTACTATTCGAATACATAGTATTTTCCCCCTTGACGGCACATGGGTGTTTTCACTCTAGGAAAGAGAGGTTCCGATGGAGGAGTGCAATGGAGATGAACACACAGAGGAGATGGAAGCAGAGGTGGGAGGAGAAACAGGAGAGGAGGCAGCAGAAGAGGCCGCAGAAGAGAAGGTTTCAGAGGAGGAGGAGGAAGCCGCAGAAGACACTGTAATTGTCTCCCAGAATCCTGTGCTGTGTCCTCCCGTGACATCTCTATCTCTTTAATGTTTTATTTTCCTCTACCTCAGGGTTTTGTTTCCCTCGAGCTCCTGTTGTCCTCGTCTCCTCCTCAACTCTGGACCATACTAACCCACCTGTATACTGTTATATTGACTGTCCCATAACTGTTTCAATTGACTGTTCTGTAACTGTTTCTATTGACTGTTGACTGTTCTGTTTGTTCCTTAGATCTGTTGGATGTTCAACCACTTCTCTGTTCTGTATTAGTTAACTGTAATCTCTTTGTTTGTTGTTTAGTTTTTTAGTTTTAATTGACTCCATTTGCAGCCTTTGTGTCATCTCAATGACTGCTACATAGTCATTGGTCTTGATTTTCTTTTATATGTACTATGTCCTTTGTTCCACAACCATGTCTAGGTGTGTATGTGTTGTATGTGTTTCCATGTCTAGGTGTGTATGTGTCGTTCCACTGTCCATCCATGTCTAGGTGTGTATGTGTTGGTGGGGGTCCTCTGGAAATCCCACAATGTTGTTGTTCAATGTGCCTGATCTGTGAGATCTGTTCAAGTTGCACGACCTCCCATGTAGAAGTGTCTCATCCATGTTTGAGGAGAGGTTCTCTGTTTCCCACATGTCTCCTTGAGGTCATGCTATCATTCTAAAAATACTGATACACAATCTTTTCTATTTTCTACCCTTTCTGTCAGAAGGCCCCCGTGAAGGAGGAAGAAGCCCAGGTAAAGTGTTTTTACATTTCTGAAAAGTATTGAAATCAAATAGAAATTTGGGAGTCATGTTTTTCTCACTGTTTTTCTCTCTTATCCTAAACAGGAAGAAGTAGAGGATGAGGAGGCTAAGGTAACAGGCGACACTGTGTCCACCGGAGTAATGCCTGATATGAAGGGCATTATCATTAATAACAGCCATTGCTCTCTGCATTGTGCCATCTGCCCCACTAAGTAACGCTTTTAGCCTGGATCCAATAGACCTGGCACATGGTTCCATACTACATTGTGCCTTTATTGAACTCTAATATTCTGGAATTAAGTAAATTATTAACTTTTTTAGTCATTCAACTATTCTAAACAAAGCATATACATGTAGGTCTAAAAGGGACATACAGATGTTAGGTCTATGTTTTCCTGGCCATAGTCCCTGATTATAAATCAGTACTATGAAGTTTCTCTGCCAATGCCCAGGCCCAGCTATGTCTGCTAGCCAAAACATGATTACATCATACATGCTTAATAACATGCTATATACACTTGCAAAGTTTCTCACTCACCAGCAGCTTCATTCATTAATTAATGCTTTTATTGTGACATGAAAGCTGTATTGAGAATGGTAAAGGTTATATAAAGGCAAAAGCCTGACTGATCAGCAAAGGTCAAATTTCACATTGTTTTAATGTCTCATACCACTGTTGTGTTCTGCTGGGCTCAGAAGTGCCTCAGAAGCGAATGCTGGTGTTGAATACAATGTGCTGTGGCACAAACAAACAGACGCGGAGTAAACCGAGACATGTGTTAGTGTTACTCTGGGCACTGTTGTTCACTACGGAGTGAACCACTGTAAACTCGTTATTGATAAGATATTAAGTTATATGCTATTGAATAGGTTCAACTGAATATATCCATCAGACTTATGTGTCAATAGATATCAAAGCACTTGTGATGTTATTGGATTGTACACTGCTCAAAAAAATAAAGGGAACACTAAAATAACACATCCTAGATCTGAATGAATTAAATAATCTTATTAAATACTTTTTTCTTTACATAGTTGAATGTGCTGACAACAAAATCACACAAAAATTATCAATGGAAATCAAATTTATCAACCCATGGAGGTCTGGATTTGGAGTCACCCTCAAAATTAAAGTGGAAAACCACACTACAGGCTGATCCATCTTTGATGTAATGTCCTTAAAACAAGTCAAAATGAGGCTCAGTAGTGTGTGTGGCCTCCACGTGCCTGTATGACCTCCTTACAACGCCTGGGCATGCTCCTGATGACTCCTAGACAGTCTGTGGTGCAACGTGGCGTTCGTGGGTGGAGCGAGACATGATGTCCCAGATGTACTCAATTGGATTCAGGTCTGGGGAACGGGCGGGCCAGTCCATAGCATCAATGCCTTCCTCTTGCAGGAACTGCTGACACACTCCAGCCACATGAGGTCTAGCATTGTCTTGCATTAGGAGGAACCCAGGGCCAACCGCACCAGCATATGGTCTCACAAGGGGTCTGAGGATCTCATCTCGGTACCTAATGGCAGTCAGGCTACCTCTGGCGAGCACATGGAGGGCTGTGCGGCGCCCCAAAGAAATGCCACCCCACACCATGACTGACCCACCGCCAAACCGGTCATGCTGGAGGATGTTGCAGGCAGCAGAACGTTCTCCACGGCTTCTCCAGACTCTGTCACGTCTGTCACATGCTCAGTGTGAACCTGCTTTCATCTGTGAAGAGCACAGGGCGCCAGTGGCGAATTTGCCAATCTTGGTGTTCTCTGGCAAATGCCAAACGTCCTGCACGGTGTTGGATTGTAAGCACAATCCCCACCTGTGGACGTCGGGCCCTCATACCACCCTCATGGAGTCTGTTTCTGACCGTTTGAGCAGACACATGCACATTTGTGGCCTGCTGGAGGTCATTTTGCAGGCCTCTGGCAGTGCTCCTCCTGCTCCTCCTTGCACAAAGGCGGAGGTAGCAGTCCTGCTGCTGGGTTGTTGCCCTCCTACGGCCTCCTCCACGTCTCCTGATGTACTGGCCTGTCTCCTGGTAGCGCCTCCATGCTCTGGACACTACGCTGACAGACACAGCAAACCTTCTTGCCACAGCTCGCATTGTTGTGCCGTCCTGGATGAGCTGCACTACCTGAGCCACTTGTGTGGGTTGTAGACTCCGTCTCATGCTACCACTAGAGTGAAAGCACCGGCAGCATTCAAAAGTGACCAAAACATCAGCCAGGAAGCATAGGAACTGAGAAGTGGTCTGTGGTCACCACCTGCAAAGCCAGTCCTTTATTGGGGGTGTCTTGCTAATTGCCTATAATTTCCACCTGTTGTCTATTCCATTTGCACAACAGCATGTGACATTTATTGTCAATCAGTGTTGCTTCCTAAGTGGACAGTTTGATTTCACAGAAGTGTGATTGACTTGGAGTTACATTGTGTTGTTTAAGTGTTCCCTTTATTTTTTTGAGCAGTGTAGTAATAATCCATTTGTTAAAATCTGTATTTCCTAGTTACAGTAACCTGGTGAAAGCAAGTGAGTTGATCCAAAGCCAATCATTACTATTCGTTGTTTTAGGGAGAAGACGATCAGCCGGTTTCTGAGGTAGATCTACATTTACATTTACTTTGAATTGTGTTCGATGTTCAATAGCTGTAGTGTTCAGTCCTTAAATTGAATTAATTAAATACTGTAGTCTCAGTTTCTGAGCTAAGGGCCTTGGGTGTTCAGTTTTAATGTGTGGTTTGTTTGCATCCTTGTGATTGTGGTCTGTGTCCAATGTCCAGACAACTAACCTCACATATTCTTCTTTGGTGTAGCGTTTCTACGGGGGGCCAGTATAAAAAAATATGTATTCACTAACTGTAAGTCGCTCTGGATAAGAGCGTCTGCTAAATGACTAAAATGTAAATGTAATGAATGCTTGAAACCCCTCTTCCTTCTTTTGTAGTTTTTGTCCCCGTCTCATTTTCCACAGGTCTCCTGTGGAGGGATTGCTGTATGTTTGGATGCATTTCATCTTAATCCTTGACACAGTTTTAGAACACTACTGATATTTTCTATGGCATGCCACCTTAGTGATATAATCATTAGATACCCTAGTCAATAACATTCCTATTTGTCATTTGATAAGATAGTTTGATGATTTGATTTTGAAAAATGTAATGCTCGTTTAGCTGCTACTCTGTCTACATTTAAATATATATTGTATAAGTAGTTAACACCAGATACAGTAACAAGGATAGTACAGTAAGTCTAAATAAATCCAATAAAGTCACATAAAGATAATTAAGCTGAACTAAATATTTTAGGGCTCCAGCTTGGTTCATGTTGAATCATGCATGTAAAGCTATCTGCAAGAGGGTCTCCTCCTCCAGCAACTCCTTGTACCTCCTCCACACATTGACCCCTCCCCCCTTTGCCCTTTTCCCCATCTCTTGGTTTGGTTTTCCAGGGAGAAGAGGATTTGGGGTCGGAGGTAACTGGATGTCTGCGACTGTGAATTTCTCTGGTTGTTCCCTTAGTCACCAGCTGTGTGGGTTTGTCTGGCAGAGATCAGAAGCCTTTGTGTTGTGGGACGGAAGAGCTTGTCTTGTGATCTATCTGCTGTTCGTTCCCTCATCAGTAGCCTGTGTTCACGCCCTCCAAACCTCTGTCCGTCTCCCCTCTCTTTTAGCCTTCCTCTTCCTCATTTCTTCCCTAGTCCTGTAGCTGCTTCCTTCCTGTCAGCCTGAACTATCCCTGTAGATTCCATTTTAAACAACATACTTTTCCTATAGCGCATGCCTCTGGTGACACCTCTGACCCCTCCATCTACACCACTGACACTTAATCTCATCCTTTCTAGGAGGAAGAAGAGCTGCGACAGCTTGAGGTAGATTGATACGAGTTTTTTTTAAACTACACTCGTCCCCCTCTACCTCTCCACCATTCTATCTATCTGCTTTTCTTGCTTCCACATCTTGCACAGTTTATTCAGCGTTCCTTCAATTTCCTCTTTGACTACTTTTTGTGTAGATTAAACAGACCCTATCTCACCTATGGCATCTGAACAGACTGTAGCCTTTACTATATTTCTTTAGCCCTCTCTGTCATGCCAGATAATCTCAATCACATAGTTGGATGAACAACATGGTAACTCTGGTAGCCATCAGAACACAGACCATGATAGAGAAACCCAGCACTGTCATTCATACTGATTTTAGTAAATTACACACACACACACACACACACACACACACCCCCCCCACACACACACACACAGAGCCTCTCCAACATTCCAAACTGCCACTGCCTGCCCTCCCTCCTCTTCCACACAAGCTTCACTGCTTTTGCTCTCTTCTTCCTCCCCTTTCTTGCTCTCCTCCACCTCCTCCACCTCCTCCACCTCCTCCTATATTTTCATTGCAGGAGCAAGAAGAGAGTTTCCTCTGGTTGTAATTTGTGGCGTCTTCTGTGGATCTTAGATCTCTCTCTCTATCTCTCTATGTCTGTCTGTGCTGCTGCATGGGTTGTGGTCTCTGTGGTACAGATAACTGATGGTGTGCAGCATGACACAACATCTCCAACACGGTCATTTGGTATATTTATGGTTATAATAATCATAATAATAATAATGAGAACATTAAGTAACACAGGGTTTTCCTCCCTCTTGAAGTCTCCTTAGTGACATGCCGTTTCACTTATCTCAAATATAGGTTGTTGTATCTCTTGCCTTTGTTCCCTCTTTGACATGGAAATGCTCAAAACCCCTGATATCCCCATCCTTAGGAAGAAGAAGAGGCCCCAGAGGTAACAGAGGTATATTCTGTCTGTGCTCCCAGCCCATTGCATGGTGTGGCCCCTGACGTGGAGTAAACGGATCTTAGGCATATGTGGATTTAGTGTGGGTTTGTGAAGAGCTCTCTACCCTTTTATTCCACAAGGCTGCCAGCATCCCTCCTGTGGTATGCTGTCTTTAAAATTTGGAAATTATCTGGACTCTGGTTGGGGTTTTGATGCAGTGTGACTGGGATGAGGTCATTGTCCGTTGGTTTACGTGTGAATTGGATCTTACAGTGTTGCATAGGAATCTCTAGTGACTTGACGAAAACCCGATGACAAACGGGATGTTTAAAAAGCCATTGGCATGGCTTCTCTTTGCGAGGAGAGTCTTGAGACTGAGTGTGGACAGGACAAGCACTGCAGAAGATTAATGGACTGTTTGTTATTGTGCAATGATCCCCCACAACAAGATCTTGGCAGTGTCATATATGTTGCACCAGACTACACTCTTTAAATAATTTGTTACCGTGGACATAATTTATCAAATCTTGAATACACAGCAAGCACTATATCCACAAGCAAGTTTTCTGGTAAACTTAGTCATTAAAAACAGTGAATTCATTGGTCACAGGACTAAGTAATTGCACTTCACCACCTTTTTAAAATTTAGCCCATAGGGTAAAGGCTATTTACGTTTGTAGAAATGTAGCTAATTGCATTAGCGCAACACCATGCTCAACCCAACAGATGCACCTCGGATGGAATGTGGTCTGATGATTTGTGAAGTATGCAGTGCCTTGCAGTTTCGTTGTCATATGACACCACCCCATAGAGGGCCTTGCTTAAAGGCCCACACTACTCTTACTACTTCACTAGCAGTTAAGGGAATGGTGCACTATCCCTGTGGCTAACTTGTTCCCTTGGCCTAAGTAGTGGATATATTCCTAGTGTTCCTAGTGTCTTCCCAATCTCATCTCTCCTACCTGTTTTCTTGATGCCTCCCCTGGATTATAATATGGTTTGACTCCCTTTTAACCCAACTATACATGCTACTTTTTCGTTTCCCCTGTGCTGGACCCTTCCCTTCACCAAAAAAATCTTTTTTTGTATTTTTTTTGTTATGCCAAGGAGGAAGAAGAAGAAGTGACAGAGGTAGAGGAAGCAGAGGTAGTATATCAACCAGCAAACACACGGATGTTCTCACCAGTGTTCGCCTTGATGCAAAAACTCTTGTTCCACTTTGAGAAGGATCTGAGCAAGACATTAGCCAGCTGAATATTCTACTGAATCTTTGTTATGGTTATTGATGGTGATAACTGCCTTATCTGAATGAAATCAGTTGCTCCACTCCTCAGTAATCTTGTTCAACTGTAATCAAGCACAGCTGAGAGATAACACTTAATTGGCAATGGAAGTTTTGTTCTGGATGCTCTCTTTATTAAACTAGCACTGTAAAATGAGTCATCTGTGCTCTTTTTTTTATTTAAATAAACTAATATGGAGTTCAACTACAGTCTGGCTCTTATATTGATAGTACTGAGTGGGATATCTTGGTTCTCCTCTGATCTGATGTCTTGCTTTACCTTGTCATCAACATTGTCATTACTCAGTTTTCTTTTTTCAGCAGGAAGAAGAGGATGAATAGTTACAGCCAGGAAAGGTTTAGGATGTCATTTACTACTGCCCAGGTAAAATAAACTACTTTATTACTTAATCAGAATTCTCTTCTCTGCCACTGGGTGGCAGTATGAGAGCAGGTAGTTTGCAGTGAACTGATGGCTGCATCGTATAACTCATAAACATGTCTTCTTGTTACTGAATGTCTTTCTAGAGTAATTTAAAAAGAAAACAATTCAGTACATGTATTACTCTGTGCCTTTTTGACCCATTTATCAAATGTGTCTTCATACTGGCATTATTAAACCATTGAATTATATTATTTAGTGCCCTAACTGTACCTAGGTAATAATCTGTATGAGATCATACAGATTACATATATAAATCCTAAAACCACATAACCCAACCAGTGTAAAGTGAGGATATAATCCCTGTCTGAAATGTACACTGTGTTGCTGTTCTGTATTGGTAGCTGTGTGTTTTCATAAGTGTTCTGTCAGAGAAGCTACAGAGAACAGAGCATTGGGCTATTTAACAGGGACTGTCACCAGTCTCTTTACACAAAAAGCTTCATTGAGCACAGAATGCCTGAAGGATCCATTGAACAGCCGTATAAAACGATATCACATGAATTCTCTTTTCTCTCCCTGTGGCAGTGATGATAATAATAATAGTAATAATCGTAATCTTCAAAGCCGCACTCATCGCCCCTCTCCAGTAGTGTAGGAAAAGGCTCTGCTCGCTGCAGGAGAGGGAACAGCCTGAGACTTTGATCGGATGGCACAGCCCACCGCACCCCCCTCCCCTCATAAAAACCAAACCTGTCACCCCAGGTTAGAGAAAGCAGCTAAGTGAGCTACTGAATTGCCTCGGGAGGGACTGGCACTCAGGATGGCATGGGCAGTTTGGGCACAGTGGTGACTGGAAGCTTAGGACCCACAGCCGCTAGCAGAGGCGCATTGGTGACCTTTCTTTTCTCTTCCAGCCTAGAGAGACCGCATGTTCCGGCCCTTCCTGACCCCCCCCTGACCCCTCAGACTGCCCCCCACCCACCGGACTACCCACGATGCCCCCAACTGCTCACTGGGAACGCACATGTCCCCCTGCTGGACCCTGCTGGCTGAAACCTGCCAATCACACACTATCTGTACGGCCCACCCAGAGATAACCCCCTGTTTTACCAGATGTTTATATTGCGTAGGGGACTAGGACGAGAGAACATGTATTGCTGTACTTCATTTGTATAACATTGTTAGTTTATGGTAGCTTCCATCCAGTGCGTAGCTCAATTACATAGTGTTCTCAGTTTGTAGTTTTTAGCAGCTTTTCTAATTGTACATACACAGTCATATGTTAAGCATTTAAATATTTCAGACATACTTCTCATGTTTCAAATTGAAAATGGTAGTTTTATACCACAGTTTGTAAAGGATGATGAGCATGCCACCACCGACACCTTAGCAGTCAATGACCGACAGCTATAACCCTGTGAGTATCTGAGTGAAGAGCACTCTATTGTGAACTGCAACCAGTGAATGGACTCTCAGACTGAAACAAATCTATCAATGCAGCGCCTCTCACTCGATGCCGGCAAATATGTTAGATCTATATGTGTGAATGCAACCCAGTGACTCTCTATGCCTCAGTCCAACATGAGAAAGACCCTCATGTAGGGTTTCCACTAGCTTCCATAGCCACAACGTCAGATTCCACAGCCACAAAGTCAAATATGACTTTGGTCTTACTTCAAGGTTAGGGTTAAGCATAAGGTTAGCAGTGTGGTTAGGGTTAGGTTTAAAATCAAATTTTAAGAAGAGAAATTGTAGAAATGGGTTTAGCCATAATTATGACTTTGTGGCTGTGGAAACTAGTGACGACCCTCATGTAGCGTGCCTTATGACTGTGTTTGCAGCTACTGGACACCGTTCACTGAACATTACTGTCTGCTGATCTACTGTGCACTTTGTTGAATGTAAAAGGAAGTGGGTGACTAAGATCCCCCTAGATGTAAGAGAAGTGAAATGCCAATAAAGTAGAGTGGTGTAAACAGCTCCCCATGGTCTATTATGCTCTATTTTCAATTCATTGTGTTTTTTTTATAGATCAATGTACAATGTTAAGCATATACAGTACAATAGGAGGATAAACATTGCATATTACCATAAATATCCTGTAATTAATGAATAACATGATATCTATGATTATAACAACATATAAGTTTGAGAAGTTACATCGAGATTACATAATACAAATGTTATAGTACCAGTGGTGTAAAGTACTTAAGTAAAAATACTTTAAAGTACTGCTTAAGTAGTTTTTTGGATATCTGTACATTACATTACTATCTATATTTTTGACTACTTTTACATTTACTTCGCTACATTCCTAAAGAAAATAATCTACTTTTTACTCCATACATTTTCCCTTACACCCAAAAGTACTCGTTACATTTTGAATGCTTAGCAGGACAGGAAAATGGTCAAATTCACACACTTATCCCTGGTCATCCTGACTGCCTATGATCTGGCGGATTCACTAAACACACATTCTTCATTTGAAAATTATGTCTGAGTGTTGGAGTGTGCCCCTGGCTATCCGTGAATAAAAAAAACAAGAAAATGGTGCCGTCTGGTTTGCTTAATATAAGGAATTTGAAATTATTTATGCTTTTACTTTTGATACTTAAGTATATTTAGAACCAAATGCTTTTAGACTTTTACTCAAGTAGTATTTTACTGGGTGACTTTCACTTTTACTTGAGTTATTTTCTATTAAGGTGTCTTTACTTTTACTCAAGTATTAGAATTGGGTACTTTTTCCGCTACTGTATATTGGTGTGTAGCTCTTCAGTATGTTTTTGGGACTTACTGTACTTATTTTACTGAGATTGTTTCTTCTCGAGCTATACTGCAGGGGAAATGGTTGTTTAAAATGTTAGTTTTTTCTTATTTGAGATAATTAAGTCCATTTAATTGATATGTAATGAATAAACTCTGAAGCGGAAAAACAGTTTGAATCACTGATTTATTTATTGGTAGTAGTATGTGATTACATTTGAATGACATTCATTACAAAAAACAAATTCTGTTTTACCTGCCAATTTAGAAAAGAAAGCAATCAAGATTACTTCCAAAACGGTGGGCATAATTGTAACTGTAACACACTGCCACATCCAATTCTGTAATGAGTGAAGGTTTACCATCAACACACATTGACTAATGTGGTTTTTATCTCACTCTCTTGTCTCTGTGTCCATTCAGCTTGGAACAATGGCTTGACTGTTCCCTGGGCAGTGTGGGCAACCTCATCCCCTTGATACTTCTGGCCTGTGTGGCTCATGGTAAGACTGTCATAACAACAAGGGCTCCACTTGGGTTAGAATCTTATATCAGAAACCAGTAATTTGCCTGTGTATCCCCCCCTACCACAATGTGCTTGATCATTGAACCCCTTGGTATTAAACCCACAGTCACACTAATTAACTTCCTAATGATCTATGTGCTCTGCATAATTAATTTCCTCAAAAGGGCTGTCTTTCTTGTTAGTGGGAAGATATAGTGGTCAGGGACAAGAGTGTCACTGAATCCCATCTCAAATTAGAGCATGAAAATTTTCATTGCTTCATTCATTCTCCCATTCGGAGGAAAAGTATGAGCTATATAAACTGCCCTAGATATTTCTCAGACCTCATTTATTAAACGGATACATCATTTATGACTCCACACAGGCCATTTCGGCTAACACAGTTAGCACTGCACAAACAATTTATACATCACCCAGATTACTTGGAAATGAGCATATTATTTCATATTACAAAATTGCACCTGACCCATTAATATTCTCCCCTTTACACCTTCATCTATCAATGGAATTAAGCTCTGTGAAGCACCACTGAAATTCAATTGGGGGATGACTTTTCTAAAGGAGGAGAGCAATAAAAATGCCTCACAGCAGGGTATAGAGCTTCCCTCCTCACAAACTATACAGTCTATCTATTCTTAATCAGGTACACGGTCTTGTGGGTTGTTAAATCTAACATGGCACTTCAGCCGTTAATGTGTTTGTTTACCCATCCCAGTTATAGAGGGCCCATCCACTGCCTGCTGCTGCTATAGGCCCTAATTTACACGGTCCTTTTTGTCTGTACTCTACTCTGTAAATCCTGGTTGCCCGAGCCAAATCTTGCTCGCCATCTGGACAGCTCAGCACAGATTTAGAGTCGCTCTCCTCATTTGGACCCACTGGTTTAACATGTGTTTGTCTGGAGCTCACAAGCATGTGACTCATGTTTTACCTCTGTCTGCATTCAAAACAGATTTATACACAGATTTGGGGTAAGACAGAGAGAGATAAGCTTGAGTACAAAGGAGATGATTGTGGACTACAGGAAAAAAAAGAGGACTGAGCACGCCCCCATTCTCATCGACGGGGCTGTAGTGGAACAGGTTGAGAGCTTCAAGTTCCTTGGTGTCCACATCACCAACGAACTATCATGGTCCAAACACACCAAGACAGTCGTGAAGAGGGCACGACAAAGCCTATTCCCCCTCAGGAGACTAAAAAGATTTGGCATGGGTCCTCAGATCCTCAAAAAATTCTACAGCTGCACCATCGAGAGCATCCTGACTGGTTGCATCACCGCCTGGTATGGCAACTGCTTGGCCTCTGACCGCAAGGCACTACAGAGGGTAGTGCGTACGGCCCAGTACATCACAGGGGCAAAGCTCCCTGCCATCCAGGACCTCTATACCAGGCGGTGTCAGAGGAAGGCCCTCAAAATTGTCAAAGACTCCAGTCACCCTAGTCATAGACTGTTCTCTCTGCTACCGCACGGCAAGCGGTACCGGAGTGCCAAGTCTAGGTCCAAAAGACTTCTCAACAGCTTCTACCCCCAAGCCATAAGACTCCTGAACAGCTAATCATGGCTACCCGGACTATTTGCACTGCCCCCCCACCCCATACTTTTTACGCTGCTGCTACTCTGTTAAGTATTTATGCATAGTCACTTTAACTCTACCCACATGTACATATTACCTCAACTACCTCAACTAGCCGGTGCCCCCGCACATTGACTATGCAACGGTACCCCCCTGTATATATAGCCTCCCTACTGTCACTTTATTCTATTGTCTATTGTATATATAGCCTCCCTACTGTCACTTTATTTTTACTTCTGCTCTTTTTTTCTCAACACTTTTTTGTTGTTGTTTTATTCTTACTTTTTTGTTTAAAATAAATGCACTGTTGGTTAAGGGCTGTAAGTAAGCATTTCACTGTAATGTCTGCACCTGTTGTATTCGGCGCATGTGACCAATAAAATTTGATTTGATTTGATTTGATTTGAGTAGGTCACATTTCAAAATCCTTTTCGACTCAGTTTTATGCAACGTTTTTTAGAGGATGAATTTTACAGTCAGATCGTGCATGTTTCTAACAGCTTCACAATCAACGAAGACAGTCACACCTCATGTACCATACCAGAGAGTGATTCAGTGGAATTCAAACACTTTACTACCCCTTTAGGTTAAATGGAAATGTGTCATTGGTTTCCATTATAACTCAATCATGATTTTATCACAACACCCCAATGTAACCCACATTCCCTGATCCCCATGCTTCTGATGCCCATGTCTCTGTGTCTGTCCCTGTCAGTGCTGGAGGCCCGGGTGCAGCTGGAGCCCAGAACCATCACGGTGCTGCGAGGTGACCCGGCCCGGCTGATCTGCAGCACGGCTGAGCCCTGGCAGGTGATGGTGTGGATCCTCAACGGTGGCTCTGTGTTGACCATCTCTGCCCAGTATGGTATTCTCTCAAACAACCCCAATGTGACTGCCGTGAACCACCGCTCCACCAATCAAGTCTCCAGCTGGGAATTTGTCCTCAAGAGAGTCCAGCGCAGCTACCAGGGACAGGTGACCTGTGACCTCCAAAACATCCAGAGGCAAACTGCTGATCTGTTTGTTCAAGGTTTGTATGCTTTTCTCATTTGGCTGTCGTTGAGGTGACTGTCTACTGGCAGGCTGACAGTATTCAGTATGGCAGATAAACAAAGGAGCCACAGTTACAGTACTGCACAAGATTTTCAAGCGATGATTTCAAAGGCCAGCTGTGAAGTGGGATTTTCGTTTCTTATGGATTCTCTCTCTCTCTCCTTGTCTCTCACACATGTTCACACACTCACGTGTACATGCGCATACACACACAAAGAAAACAAAACAGGTGGAACCCCTTTTGAAAACAATGGCAGAATGAAAGAAGACAGAAAGGATTAAATTAACCTTGACTAGGAGAAGAAAAGCAGAATAAACAAAAAGTTGAACCTCATCCATGATGATGCCACCCACACACTCCCTGACACTAGAGACAAAAACTCGATGTTTTCCTAAGCCATATTGGCTTGTTGTTTTAATTTAAAGCCTTTGTTTAAATTTGTTTGGGGTTTCATGCATGCAGCAGATTTTCTCAAGTTTTTCTCAAAGCAGCTGATTTAGTTGTTGGGCATTGATCCAGGTGTATATCAAAGAGGAGGACTGCTGCAGTGGCTGTTTTGATGGGCTGTATGACATTGTTGATGCCAGGGTTGGAGGGTGTGGGATGGGAATCGATTGGGCCAGTTATAAATACAGGGTGGAGGACACTCTCCTGAGCACCAGTCATACACCAGCCGGGATTTAGAGTCTGTCATCCCTCACCTAATACGCCCTCCCTATATCCCTCTATTTCTCTATTGCTCTATCCTTATTTTTGCCTGTTTCCTTCTATCCCTGTTTCCCTTTTCCCCCTCTATCTCTCTTTCCATATCTTCCTCTATCCCTGGATGCCGATTAAGGCAGCCCCCCCCCTCCCCCCGCACCTATCTGATTCAGAGGGGTTGGGTTAAATGTGGAAGACACATTTCGGTTGAATGCATTCATTTGTGTAACTGACTTTCCCTTTCCCCCGCTATCCCTCTGTCCCTGTTTCCCTCTATCCCTCTGTCCCTGTTTCCCTCGGCTCGGTTTCCCTCTATCCCTCTGACCCTGTTTCCCTCTGTCCCTGTTTCCCTCTATCCCTCTGGCCCTGTTTCCCTCTATCCATCTGTCCCTGTTTCCCTCGGTCCCTGTTTCCCTCTATCCCTCTGTCTCTGTTTCCCTCTGACCCTGTTTCCCTCTATCCCTCTTCCCCTGTTTCCCTCTATCCCTCTACCATGTTTCCATCTGTTCCTGTTTCCCTCTATCCCTCTGTCCATGTTTCCCTCTATCCCTCTGTCCCTGTTTCCCTCTATCCCTCATCCCTGTTTCCCTCGGTCCCTGTTTCCCTCTATCCCTCTTTCCCTGTTTCCCTCGGTTCCTGTTTCCCTCTTTCCCTCTGTCCCTCTTTCCCTCTGGCCCTGTATCCCTCTATCCCTCAGTGCCTGTTCCCCTCTATCCCTCTATCCCTCTGTCTCTGTTTCCCTCTATCCCTCTGTCTGTTTCCCTCTATCCCTCTATCCCTGTTTCCCTCTATCCCTCTGTCCCTGTTTCCCTCTATCCCTCTATCCCTGTTTCCCTCGATCCCTCTGTTCCTGTTTCCCTCTATCCCTCTGGGTCTGTTTCCCTCTGTCCCTGTTTCCCTCTATCCATCTGTCCCTGTTTCCCTCGGTACCTGTTTCCCTCTATCCCTCCTTCCCTGTTTCCCTCTATCCCTCTGTTCCTGTTTCCCTCTATCCCTCTGTCCCTGTTTCCCTCTATCCCTATTTTCTCCTGTTTCCCTATTTTTCTGTTTCCCTCTATCCCTCTGTCCATGTTTCCCTCTATCCCTCTGGCCCTGTTTCCCTCTATCCCGCTGTCCCTGTTTCCCTCGATCCCTCTGTCCCTGTTTCCCTCTATCCCTCTGTCCCTGTTTCCCTCTATCCCTCTGGGTCTGTTTCCCTCTATCCCTCTGGGTCTGTTTCCCTCTGTCCCTGTTTCCCTCTATCCCTCTGTCCCTGTTTCCCTCTATCCCTCTGTCCCTGTTTCCCTCTATCCCTCTGTTCCTGTTTCCCTCTATCCCTCTGTCCCTGTTTCCCTCTATTCATTTATCCCTGCATCCATCCTTTTGCTCCATTGGGAGGATTTAAACCACTGTCAACTTCCAAGTTATAAGGCTGGTGTTTCACATAATGGATTTCCTAGTCAGGCATGGTTTACAAAGTATCACTGTCTGTGCTTTGAACTATTGGTTATCTTGTTCAGATTTACTCTGTTTATATATTTGGAGCAAGTTCATGAATGACTGAAAATACTCTTCATTAACTTTTATTTGGATCTTGAGGACATTACTGTTTTCCTTTTTGTTATTCAATTTCTTATTGTTGATGCAGTGCTTTGCCCCACTGTAACCACAGTGCATTTCTCTGATTTCAAGTATGCAGATAGACTCTGTTCCCCAGGGGTGAAGGTGTGGAGAGATTCAGTGGCACAAATATTGAATAGTGTTCAAACGTCAGGGCAGGATAAGAATCAGAGCTCCTCCGCAGTTTTTACTGAAATCGTTATCTCTCCAAGCCAAAAGTATCCCAGTGAATCATCTCAGAGAGTTTGCTGGGGATGCCCTGCATGGCAAAGAAATACCACAGAGAATACTCAACTAGAAATTAAGAAAGATGAAGAATGATTACAACCCATACTCTGGGCCAGAATTCACCAAAACTGATAAGCTGTCATTGACAGTAGCAATGCTAGGAGGTGTTGCTGATATCTCCTCTACATTTTTCATATCATCCTATTATAAACTCCACTCATATTGGAAAGTTGGACCAAAGACAAATGGGTTGTAAACAAGACAAACTGAGAAATTAATCATTCATTTTGCGATAAAAACATAAATATTGTATTAATGATGCTTACTCTGGAACGTTTTAGCATGTTAGCGGAGAACGACAGGGTGTTGTCCAGGGTCACGCCAAGGTTATTTGCACTCTGGGAGGAGGACACAATGGAGTTGTCAACCGTGATGGCGAGATCATGGAGCGGGCAGTCCTTCCCCGGGAGGAAGAGCAGCTTTGTCTTGCCGAGGTTCAGCTTGAGGTGGTGATCCGACATCCACACTGATATGTCAGCCAGACATGCAGAGATGTGATTCGCCACCTGGTTATCAGAAGGGGGAAAGGAGAAGATTAATTGTGTGTCATCTGCATAGCAATGATAGGAGAGACCATGTGAGGATATAACAGAGCCAAGTGACTTGGTGTATAGAGAGAATAGGAGAGGGCCTAAAACTGAGCCCTGGGGGACACCAGTGGTGAGAGCATGTGGTGCAGAGACAAAATTCTCGCCACGCCACCTGGTAGGAGCGATCTGTCAGGTAGGACGCAATCCAAGAGTGAGCAGCGCCGGAGATGCCCAACTCGGAGAGGGTGGAGAGGAGGATCTGATGGTTCACAGTATCAAAGGCAGCAGATAGGTCTAGAAGGATAAGAGCAGAGGAGAGAGAGTTAGCTTTAGCAGTGCGGAGAGCCTCCGTGACACAGAGAAGAGCAGTCTCAGTTGAATGACCAGTCTTGAAACCTGACTGGCTTGGATCAAGAAGGTCATTCTGAGAGAGATAGCAGGAGGGTTGGCTAGAGACGGCACGCTCAAGAGTTTTGGAGAGAAAAGAAAGAAGGGATTCTGGTCTGTAGTTGTTGACATCGGAGGTATCGAGTGTAGGTTTTTTGAGGAGGGGTGCAACTCTCGCTCTCTTGAAGACGGAAGGGATGAGTTGATGAGTGAGGTGAGGTAAGGGAGAAGGTCTCCGGAAATGGTCTGGAGAAGAGAGGAGGGGATAGGGTCAAGTGGACAGATTGTTTGGCGGCTGGAGGGCTTGATCCACCATGATTTGCATGGTGGATCAAGCCCTCCAGTGTAGATGCAGAGGATCTCAGAGCCTTTCAATTAATGGTGATCTAGGCGTTTTCCAGTTCACCGTCAGCAACTCTGCTGGTGATTTGTCCAAATATACCATTGGAGGAGAGCCACAAATCTACACTAGAGACTGGCCCTCTTCTCTCCTCACCCCTTCGTTCTAATTGTCCAATATGAATGTGATGCAAACACGCCGACACAGAACATATACACACATACTGCTTGCAGACACACACACACACACACACACACACACACACACACACACACACACACACACACACACACATGCAGACACACACACGTAGACACACTTCTTACATTAAAAAATATATATGGCTGTATGGGGTTGTTGAATATGAACAGAAAGTGCTGTAAGGGCTAAAGCAGAGGAAGAGGCCACTTTGATTTAAATCAGAGACGAGTGAGCGTGCCTTTGGTGATTGGGCTGGAGAGGCCCAGCGTGCTGTTCATCAGAATAAATTCCCAAACACATACAGACACACACAGATACACACACACACACACACTGACAAACACATGCACAACTACTAGTGCTGTTGGAGACATACAATACTGCTCATCCGAGCAGAAGGTGCCCATACTTCTTCCAGATTAAAGGCTGTCCCTCAGAGTGGCAATTTCCTTGCCAAGGGCCCTGTTGAAAAATCACAGGAATTAATAAGAGCTGTACTCCTCACCAGCATCTTCTCAGGAAACAGTCACAAAGCCTGTCTTAGATGGCTAGGCTTACTGTGATTAATGAACCTTATGAAACCTTATTTCAGAGATCACTTAGACTGGAATGATGGGGGAGGAGCCTCACGTTGTAAGGGACTGACTATCTTTCCTCAAATGTATCAATCTTCCATCCATGATTAGTTGCTGTAGTTTATTAGTCCATGGAAGAGATACTGTTTCCTTCTTCTGATCCTCACTACTTTATTGCACTGCTGAGATTTGATAAGAGCTTTAAATGACTTCCTTTTACAGCCTTTTCAATGGGGAGACAGTGTAATCAAAGTTAAATATCAACTTATATGACACCAAATCAAATATCAAGACGCAGCCTATGAGGAACGGGGGAGCCGTCATTGTACATTGAGGGCTTTGATCCTGAATCAACATAGACATGTAATTTGGTTAGACAAAGCGACAAAGCTTCAGTAATTATCTGTCTATCTATAGCAATTCTCTGCTGCACCCTCTGCCTTTCACTCTGCCAGACAATAGACTTCACAGAAGATATCACCCAGTCTAAGTGGCTTATTTGGCTGCCTGTGTATGAGATATGGGAAAAGAGGCATTCTCCCATCAGCCTTTTGAGACCTCGAGGCACACGATCAATCATTTAGGAAGAGTAAGAAGTCTCTAAATGAGCATGTCAATTGCGATCAGAGAATCCCTATCCGTCTCAGGATACACTTGGCATCCATACAGTATACACGCATACGGCGTACTGCACACAGCGCCTTCCTCTAATCCATAAACACACAGTCATGCATGTGACCGAACCAGCTAAACACTACACACAATCTTGCAAAATAGCACAATGGACTAGAATGACCTGGCAAACTGTCAAAAATACATACAGTATCCCAAAACTCTTTCTCTTTTCTTTCCAGAGAGGGGTAACGTGGCCATCACAGAGGGGAACGTGACTGTGCTGAAGGGAGAAGAGGTCTTGTTCCAGTGCCTGGCTGTAGGCTGGTACCCAGAGCCCAGTCTGACTTGGCTGTTGAACAGCAGAGAGGTGGACCAGGGTCAGTACAACATCAGCACTGAAGGGCCTGTTGATGTGGATGGGCTCTACAACCTGACCAGTGATCTCAGCGTCCAGGCCAGCAGAGAGCTCTCATGTCTCTGTTTCTGACCTCCCCACGCTCCAGGCCAGCAGTGTGCGTCTGACCGTGGGTGAGAAACACAAAATCTCTCTCTCTCTCTCCCTCTACTCGGAGCTGGGATTTGTATATGTGCTCATATTCATCAGTGGAAGCAGACTGTGGGGGTTTGTTACTGTTGATGAGAGGAATGACAAGAAAGGCATTGCAGGATAGACACGGCTTTTATCACCATTGAAGTCATCCTACATAAATAGAGTATTGGGAGCTGCAGGATTTGGTTCTCTCACTGTGTTATGTTGCATACTGAGTTTCCCATCTGTGGTTTGGGTAATCTTGAAATATATTCAATAGTGTTAACAAAAGACAAAACACTATCCCTGCCACAATCACAGCAAACCCTGATAGTAGATTTTGTCGATTAAAATATTAATTGAATAATAAAAAATGTTGGCTTCTTTGGGACTAAACCTCCTAAATTAACTTATTTGTTTAGTTGCAGAGGTGCTGGTGGAGAATGTATGCGACGACTGCATTGTTCTAATCGCAGTAACAGCCTCAGTGTCCACCGTCCTCCTGCTCCTGCTACTGAGCATCTGCATTGTCCTCTGTTACAGACGGAGGAGAAGAGCAAGTAAGCACCTTTCTTTTCTTTTTGTACCGCTCAGTGAAAAATGTCCAACCCCCCACCCTCACGGGAACAATGATTAAAGTATAATGAAGGAGTTAGGCGGTCACACGCAGTGATTCTGCAATGTGTCCCACGCCTGCATCGGCAAGGGCATGGGTTTTTGAACGTATACAGAACTTCAGCTGTCAGCAGAATGCTCTAGTGCTGGCTTTGGCTTGGCCTAACCCCCTACCTGTCCATAAAACACAGGAGCACCACCATGGAGAGACAGTTGTCCAGGAGAGACACACTGGACATAGCACCTCCTGGTGGTCACTCTATGAAAATGCAGTTACTCTGTCACTAAGTAACACAGGTAGACATACTTAATTACATTAGGCAGTAATTAACCTATCGTATTCAGTTTATTTTCCATTTGCTACGTTGAATAATCTGAGAGTTATGTCAATCATCAACACTCTTATGATCTGGTGTTACATATACCAAGACAGATTCATAATGACTCTAATTGGGGCCACAACCCACAAACATGTCTCTGAAGTGACCCCAAAAAATCTTCAACTTCCTACTCCTGGGATTAATGTCTTACTGGGTTACCAGCAGACAGTGAATAGAAGGTTTTGTGAGTCTTTGGCGGCTTTCGGAGTAGAGACGGTTGGTGAGGAGTTTCTGGAGAGCCATCTCAGAGGGGATCGTTGTTGTGGGCGACGAGGCGGCCGTCTGGCTGTTTGTGTGTGATAACAAAACCTGCCCCTGAGTCATGCATTAGACTGCTCTAATCCCTGTGACTGATTGCAGACCAGTGCAAATCAGGGCCATGATTTGGGAGCTGTAGGATTATTTTAATAAGGCAGGTGTGCCCTCCTTAGTACATTTACAGTATTCACCCAATAGTCTGATATCTTTTTCACTGTCCTTGATTTGGTCCAGTTCCTTTCCCTGCTTTCCTTACTATAAATCCCAGGCAGCAAAGCGTCAAATCAATATAATCAGGATTTTTCACATTTAACAAAATGGCATGGCTCCAATTCAGTACTGCTCTCTGTGGGCTAATCCAACACACTTAAGAGTAATGTATGCATTGCAATTATTCGGATAGAATGGGGATTAAATATATTCACCTTAATAAAGTTGGACAGTGTGGCAATTTCTCCTCCTGTAAATGAGTCTGGTTTATCCTTCTCCTGGGCCGGCACCGTCTGTACCACCATTGTTATAGAATAGTTTTGGCTCTGGCCAGGGCCTTGGGCTAAGAAAGGTAATGATGCTGTGTGATAAGATTCATTAACAATCAGCTCAGGCTTTCACTCTAACATTTCTAAAGTGACCTCAGGCTTGAGTGAGTGTGTGCTTAGAAAAAAATGTGCTTTCTAGAACCTTAAAGGGTTCTTCGGCTGTCCCCATAGAAGAACCCTTTGAAGAACCCTTTTTGGTTGCAGGTAGAACCCTTTCTAAATGGAACCCAAAAGGGTTCTACCTGAAACCAAAAAGGGTTTAACCTGGAACCAAAAAGGGTTATCTTATGGGGAGAGTGTATTTTGGAGCTTCAGACACAAAGCAAACTAAATGATGCTATGGTCTATGCAACCATAAGCAAGGTCAGGATTACTGTATTGGTCTAGATTGAACATTGAGACAGTGAAAATCCTGTACGATAGCCATAATATAAAATCACATAAGATCATGACTGTTGTAATTTTCTGTATTTGGTTGTCTTTCAGAATCAAGCCAACCGGAGACAAAAAGGTGAGAGTTTGATGCTCTTAGTGCCGTTCTTTCTAACCTCTCAACCTGCTTGTTAATGTGGGATTATACAATGTTTGAAAAGGTACAGACCTTGGCGGTTTTTGTATTGGCAAGAGCTGACGAATGAAGATCCAGGATCAAGTGTAGCTACTTCAGAGGATGTGACTAACCATCCATGAAACGATTTATGGGAAACATTTGTGAGAGGGAACTAATACAGCCTCATCCTATTGATTCAAAATTCCATTAGTCCTTTACACAAGTTACTGCTGGGACTCGGCATAAATCTTAGTAAATAAGTCTACCCAAAGGCATGTATTTATATGGCTCTGAGTCTGCCTTGTGTCTGAGAAAGATACTGGGATTTTATAGTTAATTAAAATAAAGAATTGAGAATAATAATTTGGAACATTAGATGGTTATTAGATTATAACATCCACATTAAGATTGAAATTCTAGTTTACAAAATAATTATGTGATTTCAACTTGAATTTGTTATTGTGTATGTGTCGTAATATCCATGTATTTCTGTTTCATTGACTGCATTGATTGCCATGTGGATATCAGTAAAAACAAGTGAAATTCATGACAATATGTACAGTACATTCAGGAGAATCAAATACATTTGCATAGGTATGGAATGGGCGACTTTTTAAATCTCTCAGTCCTGGCCTGTGGAATTGAAAGCAGGTGTATACTGTGGGTGGAGCTTCCTAACACTTGTCCCCAGCAGGCAGGTAACCAGTCTCTGAAGGGGGACTTGAAGCAAAGTCCAAGCACAGTTTGTCTATTCTCTCATGAAGTGAGGGCAGTGATATTGACATCAGAGCATTGTTGTATCCAGGATATGCTGTGCCAACGATGATTCTGCAAGCACAATTCTGTATGCTCTCGAGTTGTTCAGAGGGCTTGAGTCAAGGAGCTGTGCCAAGCTGGTGCGGCATACTCTAGGCAGGGTCGAACATAAAGATGAAGTCGGAAGTTTACATACACTTAGGTTGGAGTCATTAAAACTTGTTTTTCAACCACTCCATACATTTCTTGTTAACAAACTATAGTTTTGGCAAGTCGGTTAGAACGTCTACTTTGTGCATGACACAAGTAATTTTTCCAACAATTGTTTACAGACAGATTATTTCACTTATAATTCACTGTATCACAATTCCAGTGGGTCAGAAGTTTACATACACTAAATTGACTGTGCCTTTAAACAGCTTGGAAAATTCCAGAAAATGATGTCATGGCTTTAGAAGCTTCTGATAGGCTAATTGACATCATTTGAGTCAATTGGAGGTGTACCTGTGGATGTATTTCAAGGCCTACCAAACTCAGTGCCTCTTTGCTTGACATCATGGGAGCATCAAAAGAAATCAGCCGAGACCTCAGAAAAAGAATTGTAGACCTCCACAAGTCTGGTTCATCCTTGGGAGCAATTTCCAAACGCCTGAAGGTACCACGTTCATCTGTACAAACAATAGTATGCAGTATTTACACCATGGGACCACGCAGCCATCATACCGCTCAGGAAGGAGAAGCGTTCTGTCTCCTAGAGATGAACGTACTTTGGTGCGAAAAGTGAAAATCAATCCCAGAACAACAGCAAAGGACCTTGTGAAGATGCTGGAGGAAACAGCTACAAAAGTATCTATATCCACAGTAAAGCAAGTCCTATATCGACATAACCTGAAAGGCCACTCAGCAAGGAAGAAGCCACTGCTCCAAAACCGCCATAAAAAAGCCTGACTACGGTTTGCAACTGCACATGGGGACAAAGATCGTACTCTTTTGAGAAATGTCCTCTGGTCTGATGAAACAAAAATAGAACTGTTTCGCCATAATGACCATCGTTATGTTTGGAGGAAAAAGGGGATGGCTTGCAAGCCGAAGAACACCATCCCAACCGTGAAGCACGGGGGTGGCAGCATCATGCTGTGGGGGTGCTTTGCTGCAGGAGGGACTGGTGCACTTCACAAAATAGATGGCATCATGAGGAAGGAAAATTATGTGGATATATTGAAGCAACATCTCAAGACATCAGTCAGGATGTTAAAGCTTGGTCGCAAATGGGTCTTCCAAATGAACAATGACCCCAAGCATACAGTGGGGAAAAAATGTATTTAGTCAGCCACCAATTGTGCAAGTTCTCCCACTTAAAAAGATGAGAGAGGCCTGTAATTTTCATCATAGGTACACGTCAACTATGACAGACAAATTGAGAGAATTTCTGTGTAAAGGAAATAATGAATGGGGCCATGTATCGTGAGATTTTTTGTGAAAACCTCCTTCCATCAGCAAGGGCATTGAAGATGAAACGTGGCTGGGTCTTTCAGCATGACAATGATCCCAAACACACCGCCCGGGCAACGAAGGAGTGGCTTCGTAAGAAGCATTTCAAGGTCCTGGAGTGGCCTAGCCAGTCTCCAGATCTCAACCCCATAGAAAATCTTTGGAGGGAGTTGAAAGTCTGTGTTGCCCAGCGACAGCCCCAAAACATCACTGCTCTAGAGGAGATCTGCATGAAGGAATGGGCCAAAATACCAGCAACAGTGTGTGAAAACCTTGTGAAGACTTACAGAAAACGTTTGACCTGTGTCATTGCCAACAAAGGGTATATAACAAAGTATTGAGAAACTTTTGTTATTGACCAAATACTTATTTTCCACCATAATTTGCAAATAAATTCATTAAAAATCCTACAATGTGAATTTCTCATTTTGTCTGTCATAGTTGACGTGTACCTATGATGAAAATTACAGGCCTCTCTCATCTTTTTAAGTGGGAGAACTTGCACAATTGGTGGCTGACTAAATACTTTTTTTCCCCACCGTACTTCCAAAGTTGTGGCAAAATGGCTTAAGGACAACAAAGTCAAGGTACTGGAGTGGCCATCACAAAGCCCTGACCTCAAGCCTATAGAAAATATTTGGGCAGAACTGAAAAAGCGTGTGCGAGCAAGGAGGCCTACAAACCTGACTCAGTTACACCAGCTCTGTCAGGAGGAATGGGCTAAAATGTACCCAACATATTGTGGGAAGCTTGTGGAAGGCTACCTGAAACGATTGACCCAAGTTAAACAATTTGAAGGCAATGCTACCAAATACTAATTGAGTGTATGTAAACTTCTGACCCACTGGGAATGTGATGAAATAAATAAAAGCTGAAATAAATCATTCTCTCTACTATTATTCTGACATTTCACATTCTTAAAATAAAATGGTGATCCTAACTGACCTAAGACAGGGAATTTTTACTAGGATTAAATGTCAGGAATTGTGAAAAACTGAGTTTAAATGTATTTGGCTAAGGAGTATGTAAACTTCCGACTTCAACTGTAGCTAGTAGATCAAGTTTTATACATTTACATTTACATTTACATTTTAGTCATTTAGCAGACGCTCTTATCCAGAGCGACTTACAGTTAGTGAATACATTTTTTTACATATATATAATTTTTTTTATACTGGCCCCCCGTGGGAATCGAACCCACAACCCTGGCGTTGCAAACACCATGCTCTATCAACTGAGCTACATCCCTGTTATACCATTTGTCAGCAGTTTTAATGTCCCTAATGATACCATTTTACTATTGAAGCAGTGAACACACTGACTTAAGAGTGGTTAAGTCTAAATGAATTGAATAATGATAATGGTTTTTCATAAGTATCAGCGCATTACATTGAAAAAAACACTATAACCTGTAGACTGGCAAGACAATTGATAGTACCAACATAACATAAAGCTCACAAAACTGTTGCTTCTTTCAAGGTTGCACTATTTTCCTGCTGTAGGTGACTGGCTCAATTTAAGATCCTACATCTGTAGGAATTGGTCATATTTTCCATTGGACTGTTCCTCTGGGTTTCCACAGGATAGATGAATCACAGAGTGGGAGAAGCTCTATTCCTGAGACAACAGGAGGTAAGGTCAACCTGGGATACACAACAGAGGGCCACTCAGGTGAGAGTCAGGGTGACAAATACCCCTGCTCCTCATTAGGACACATTATCTTCAACATCTAATGAGATCAGTGAGGTATGTTGGCATGGAAAATCAGAATGGATAGGCTATTTTATTTTATCTGTGATTTATTTTATTTGTTAAAAGTATTACAGACTACTAACAGCATTAGAGGCTATAATTGACTATGATGTAATCACAATGCCATGTTCTATGTTGGAGCCGCTGTACTATACTTCCTCCCCTGAGCATACAGTGTGGTACAGTGAAATGGTCAGAAGGGATGTCAGGTCAGGTAAACGCCTGTTTCTCACTCGACAGACGCTGGCCGCAGTGACCTCTTCGTCACTGGGGGAACCCCCAGCCAGATGAGCTCCATCAGCACTCACAAGGTAAGGAGAGAGAGAGAGAGAAACTTACCGCAGCTGAATAATGCAGTCAGTCAGTCTCCATACTGCAGCCGGAGCCCCTGACACCTCCCAGGCTCTCACATTGACGGGGACTGCAGGGACTGCCAAGATCCTCCTCCCCTGGCCGGGGGACAGTTAACTCTTAATGGCTGCATTCGAAATGGGATCCTATTCACTGTGCAGTGCACTAGTTTTGACCAGGGCCCATGAGTCACTCATAATTCTGCACTTGACACATTTATGAAATTGCTTATTCCAGTTACTAATAAGCATGCACCCATTAAGAAAATGACTGTAAAAACTGTTAAATCCCCTTGGATTGATGAGGAATTGAAAAATGGTATGGTTGAGAGGGATGAGGCAAAAGGTATGGCCAATAAGTCTGACAACACAACCGATTGGCATACATACTGCAAATTGAGAAATCATGTGACTAAACTAAATAAAAATAAACTATACTATGAAACAAAAATAAATGATATAAAGAATGATCGTAAAAAGCTTTGGAGCACCTTAAATTACATTTTGGCCATAAAGGCAAACTCAGCTCCATCATTCATTGAATCAGATGGCTCATTCTTCACAAAACCCACTGATATTGCCAACTACTTTAATGATTTTTTAATTGGCAAGATTAGGAAACTTAGGCATGACGTGCCAGCAACAAACGCTGACACTACACATCCAACTATATCTGTCCAACTATATCTGTACTCTTGAATTCCGTAAAGTGAGTGTGGAAGAGGTGAAAAAATGATTGTTGTCTATCAAGAATGACAAGCCACCGGGGTCTGACAACCTGGATGGAAAATTACTGAGGATAATAGTGGATGATATTGCCACTCCTATTTGCCATATCTTCAATTTCAGCCTACTAGAAAGTGTGTGCCCTCAGGCCTGGAGGGAAGCAAAAGTCATTCCGCTACCCAAGAATAGTAAAGCCCCTTTTACTTGCTGAAATAGCTGACCAATCAGCCTGTTACCAACCCTCAGTAAACTTTTGTAAAAAATTGTGTTTGACCAGATCCAATGCTATTTTACAGTAAAAAAATTGACAACAGACTTTCAGCACGCTTATAGGGAAGAACATTCAACAAGCACAGCACAAATGACTGATGATTGGCTGAGAGAAATTGATGATAAAATATTCTGGGGGCTGTTTTGTTAGACTTCATTGCGGCTTTTGACATTATTGATCATAGTCTGCTGCTGGAAAAACGTATGAGTTATGGCTTTACACCCCCTGCTATATTTTGGATAAAGAGTTACCTGTCTAACAGTACACAGAGGGTGTTCTTTAATGGAAGCCTCTCCAACATAATCCAGGTAGAATCAGGAATTCCCCAGGGCAGCTGTTTAGGCCCCCTACCTTTTTCAATATTTACTAACAACATGCCACTGGCTTTGTTTTACTATTTTCTACATTGTATAATAACAGTGAAAACATCAAAACTATGAAATAACACACATGGAATCATGTAGTAACCAATAAAGTGTTACACAAATCAAAATATATTTTATATTTGAGATTCTTCAAAGTAGCCACCCTTTGCCTTGATGACAGCTTTGCACACTCTTGGCAACCAGCTTCATGAGGCAGTCACCTGGAATGCATTTCAATTCACAGGTGTGCCTTGTTAAAAGTTAACTTGTCGAATTTCTTTCCTTCTCAATGCGTTTGACCCAATCAGTTGTGTTGTGACAAGGTAGGGGTGGTATACAGAAGATAGCCCTATTTGGTAAAGGACCAAGTCCATATTATGGCAAGAACAGCTCAAATAAGCAAAGAGAAATTACAGTCCATCATTACTTTAAGACATGAAGGTCAGTCAATCCGGAAAATTTAAAGAACTTTGAAATTTTCTTCAAGTGTAGTCGCAAAAACCATCAAGCGCTATGAAGAAACTGGCTCTCATGAGGACCGCCACAGGAAAGGAAGACCCAGAGTTACCTCTGCTGCAGAGGATACGTTCATTAGAGTTAATTGCACCTCAGATTGCGGCTCAAATAAATGCTTCACAGAGTTCAAGTAACAGACACATCTCAACATCAACTGTTCAGAGGAGACTGCGTGAATCAGGCCTTCATTGTCGAATTGCTGCAAAGAAACCACTACTAAAGAACACCAATAAGAAGAATAGACTTGCTTGGGCCAAGAAACACAAGCAATGGACATTAAACTAGTGGAAATGTGTCCTTTGGTCTGATGAGTCCAAATTTGAGATTTTTGGTTCCAACCGCTGTGTCTTTGTGAGATGCAGAGTAGGTGAACGGATGATCTCCGCATGTGTGGTACCCACCATGAAGCATGGAGGAGGAGGTGTGATGGTGTGGGTGTGCTTTGCTGGTGACACTGTCTGTGATTTAGTTAGAATTCAAGGCACACTTAACCAGCATGGCTACCACAGCATTCTGCAGTGATATGCCATCCCATCTGGTTGGTCCTGTTTTTCAACAGGACAATGACCCAAAACACACCTCCAGGCTGTGTAAGGGCTATTTGACCAAGAAGGAGTGTGATGGAGTGCTGCATCAGATGACCTGACCTCCACAATCACCCGACCTCAACCCAATTGAGATGGTTTGGGATGAGTTGGACCGCAGAGTGAAGGAAAAGCAGCCAACAAGTGCTCAGCATATGTGGGAACTCCTTCAAGACTGTTGGAAAAGCATTCCTCATGAAGCTGGTTGAGAGAATGCCAAGAGTGTGCAAATCTGTCATCAAGGCAAAGGGTGGCTACTTTGAAGAATCTAAAATATAAAATATGTTTGAATTATTTAACACTTTTTTGGTTACTACATCATTCCATATGTGTTATTTCATAGTTTTGATGTCTTCACTATTCTATAATGTAGAAAATAGTAAAAATAAAGAAAAACCCTTGAATGGTACTGTATAAATTAAAGTTAGTTAGTCAATAATATATTGGATATTAGTTCATCAATGTTGATGAGCTAATGGAGCTTCTTAGATGCTCTTGTAAAGATTGTTAAGAAATAACACCAGTAACTGATTGGCATATTGATCAAAGGAATGTTCAGAGTTGTTGCATGATCACTAATGGTGATGGGAGAATGACATGGCAACCACACTGTCCTTAGATTGGTGCTGAGTTTCTTTTGCCCCCTTGCCTTGTCCTTCAAGTAACTTTGCACAAGATCAAAAGTTCAACTGTCACAAAATATTAAAGTGATGAATCCACCTTTTGTTCTATATTCCAGATCCCAGAAGTTGTCTCTTCCAGTAACTTATTTGCTAAACACTAGTCAGAGTAATGTCCCAACAGACCACAGTGGAGATGGCTCCAAGACCATCAGAAGAGTGACTATGGTGTGATCGTCGTATCGGGTCCAAACAAGATATGCTTGATTTTGCTGTTACATTTGTGTATCATTGCCAATTATCCTACACAACATGCTTTTCATGACATGGAATGTATCACACTTTTATATAAGACATTATTGTACATACTTTATAATATAATAATAATATAATATGCCATTTAGCAGACGCTTTTATCCAAAGCGACTTACAGTCATGCGTGCATACATTTTTGTGTATGGGTGGTCCCGGGGATCGAACCCACTACCTTGGCGTTACAAGTGCCGTGCTCTACCAGCTGAGCTACAGAGGACCATACTTTAGGTATATTCGCTTGATGTAAACTATTTTTACATTTTTGTACTGTCACTGCATATTGAGGATACCTAATCCCATAGAATTAACTCTCAACACATTGTTTGTTTGCGGGTTTTTGTGTTCACACAGACCAAGGCATCAGATGACTGACTCTCTCATACATCTTTGTTCTCACTCACATATTCTTCCAGAGTTAACCCCCTGTCACGACTGCCTCCTCTCCTTGTTCGGGCAGGCTTCGGCGTTCGTCGTCACCGGCCTTCTAGCCACTGCCGCTCCTCATCTCATCATTCCATTTGTTTTGTCTTGTTTATTACACACACCTGGTTCATATCCCGTCATCAGTACCTGTATAAGTGTTCCCTCTGCCCCCTTGTCTTTGTGTGTGATTGTATATTGTGAGATTAGTGAAGCTCGGTGGAGCTCCTTGTATTTTGTATCACCGGGTTATTTTCCCCGTGTGCCTTCTTGGTTTCAGTGCGCCTGTTTTGTGCACTGGACTGTTTTGACGCTTTATTGCGTAACTCTGCATTCCGGAATAAATCCTGTTATTCTGTGATTTACCCTCCTGCGCCTGACTCCTTCAAATCACCACATCAAAGAATCACACACCAGCCATGGAGTCAGCAGGAGAGCAGCACGTGCCTGGAGTCGTGGCACGGGTCCGGGAGCATTCGACGATGCTAGCCAGCTTGGGAGAAGCGATGGATCGGGTTCTCCAGGTCGTCCAATGTTTGGACCGGATCCAGCCACCCACACCCCAGCACCCAGAGGGATCCATATCTCCCGACCACGGGATTTCGACGGGGCAGCTGCTCTCTACCAGGGATTCATCCTACAACTGGAGCTATATTATTCAAACATCAGCCCGGCTCCATCGGAGCGGGAGAAGGTGTCCGCCCTAGTCTCCTGTCTCTCGGGGAAAGCCCTGGAGTGGGCCAACGCAGTTTGGAGTGAAGGAAGAGCCGTGTTGGACAACTATGAGTTCGCTCGCCTCTTCCGGGCAGTCTTCGACCACCCGCCCGAGGGTAGAGAGGTGGGCGAGCGGCTAGTCCGCCTGAGACAGGGGACGACGACCGCGCAGGACTTCGCCCTGGAGTTTCGGACTCTAGTGGCTGGGTCCGGGGGGAACGAGCGGGCCCTCATCGACTACTTCCGGTGCCATCTGCGAGAGGACGTCCGAAGGGAGCTAGCCTGCCGGGACACCATGTTGTCCGTCAACCAACTGGTGGACATGGCCATCCAGTTAGACAACCTGCTGGCTGCTAGAGGACGTCCTGGAAGGGGCCTGCCCATTCCACCCTCCCCAACCCGGATCACGAGATGATGGAGATGGGTGGAG